AGTGGAAGTAAAGATGGAGGAGGCTCATTCTTTATCCTCGCGCTGCAGATGCTCTGTTTAACTGTGTTCTCGCTAGTGAAGTGCTCAGTTTTTACACTTGCAAAGTCGTCATGTAAAAAGTAAATGCACCGTGGAGAGACACAACTGACTAAAGGGAGAGAGACGAGACTCTGATTGGTTTATTCTCAAAACACACCCAGAACTAGATTAGACCATGCGCCGCGGCACAGAGAGGATTTTCCCTCCTTTAATAAAGCAAAAGTAGATTCAGACTCATTCTTAATGGTCACAGTTCACCACGCTTGAACTCTCCAATGCAGCGAAACGCAAAACTTTTCGTACGAGCTTGTGTTTCCAGCCTGTCGCATTCGCTTCTGTATGACTGCAAGTCTGTCAAAAGCTACGAACAATGAAGTCAATCAGTGTCCGCTCATCTGATGATACAGCTGTCCATAACCTGCTCTTACTATACACATCTCAAACACTGAACATTACATTCATTAATAGTGTCATTCTCACTGTGTGTGTGTGTGTGTGTGTGTGTGTTTTACCTGTGGAGCGGCTCAATCTGCTCCTAGATAACCCACTGTTGCAGTTGCTAAACAGCGTCTTCAGTTTGGTCTTGTCTGTGTTTATAGACCTCAGATACGGCATGAACGTGGTCATGAAGTTCTTCTTCACAGTCTGTAACACACACACACACACACACACACACACACACACACACACACACACACACACGCACACACATGAATAAAGAAGCCCTCCAGTAGGAGAGTGAGGTGAGCGGGCTGAAAGCCGTACCGCACTGAAGAGACTCCAGAAGGAGTTGGTGAAGTACAGCGGGATCTTAGCCAGCCTCTGCAGCGTCTGCTGACCCCATGTGGAGGAGTTCCTGAAAGAGCAGCGCACCCGTCAGCAAACACACACACACACACACACACACAGACGCACACACACACACACACACACACACAAAGAACTGAGGAGCTGTGAGAAGGAAGAGCGGTTGATTCTCACCCGTAAGATGTGTTTCCTGACAGCAGCAGCCGCTGAACCGCAGAGATCTGAGCGTCCGACAGCTCCACACAGTTCTTCAGGCTCTCGATGATGGACGGGTCAGAGTTGGGGATGTAGACGGGGTCCAGCGTACACGTCAGGTTACCCAGAACCGCAATCTGATCTTTACTGAGACTGTTACCCGTGATGCCCTGTGACACACGCACACACACGTTTACTGGCACATTCATCTGTAAATGCAGGTGTTCTGTCAGTGTGTGTGTGTGTGAGATTCTCACCAGGCAGCTGCGTGCGTTGGCGAACAGAGCAGCCGGTTTGTTGAGGACGCTGGAGAGGACCGAGTAATCTGCCTGACCCACGGCACTGAAGTATGATCTGCAGTTCACCGGCTGGACATTGTCATAGCTGAACACACACACAAACACACACACAAACACACACACAAACACACACACAAACACACACACAAACACACACACACACACACACACACACACACACACACACAGGGGAAACATGCATCATAATGAATGTTTACTGAGTCTCTGCAAAACATTCTACTGACCTGTTCAGCTCGTCATGTCACATATAGTAGAAGAACACTTGTAATTCCTGCATGCTCCCTCATCAGCAACATTTATACTAATATAACAGTGACCATCAGTTCTTCGTTCTCTACATCTAAGACAAACACACCACATCAACAGCCACACACACTCGCTAGCCTTGATGGTGTCTTGTGCAGAGTTCGAGCCACAACATCTTGTGCCTGGGGTGCCTCAGAGCTCTGTACTAAGACCGCTTCTCCTCTTCGTTTACATGAGGTCACTTGGGTCTGGGATCCAGAAACATGGCTTTTGCTAACATTGCTATGCTAACAACACCCAACACCTCTCATTATATCCAGACCACCCCAGCGATTGCTTCATGAATATCAGCATGTGTGAGAGTAACTCTGGCCGGGTGAGGGACCATCACCGTCAACTCAACCTTGTCAAAACTGAACCGCAGGTAATGCTGCATCCTCAGCACCTCCTTACAGCACAACCAGTAAGCCTCAAGTGATTCAGGTGATTCTGGAATTTATTGACCATGTAGCTGCAGATGCCCGATCCTGCCAATTTGCCGTACATAACCCCAGGGAGATCAGACCCCTTCTGTCAGAGCCTGCTGGTCAATTGTTTATCCAGGCTTTCGTCTTATCAAGGCTGGACTACTGCAATGATCTTTTGGCTGGCCTCCTAAACTACAACATCAAGCCTCTGCAGCTGATCCAGAACAGAGCATGTCCCACCTTTATTCAGCCTCCAATCACTGCTCAAATCTAATTCAAGGCTTGTCACTTGCCTGCAAACCAATCGCTGGCTCTTTACATGAATCTTCTACATCAGGCTTGTGTGCCCATCAAGGCTCTGGACTCGGCTACCCAATGTCACTCTGTGGCCTCATCCCACGGCACAAAATCGATTGCAAGGACTTTCGTCTTTAACATCCCATCCTGGTGGAATCTGTTCTGTCAACACTTAATGGACGAGCAATAGGACTTACTGGTAATCCCTTTCCTGTTTTCCCTATTTGTCTGATTACTATTACCTATTTGTCACACACATTTTCATGGGGTCGAGTGAGCTGAACTGCTGCTGTTATCCTCAGTTGTATCTGCTAAATGGCTAATCCTAGTGTTGTTCCTCACCTGTAGTAGAGTAGCACCTCTGCAGGTAAATCAGAGAAGCTGGACAGAGGCTCGTCTTTCACATAGTTGTTCATGCACATGAGCTGAAAACAGAGAGACAGGGGTCAGGGGTCAGGAGCTCAGCTGTGACCACATGTGCACGCAGTAAAGAGTGTGCGGTACCTGACTCTCCTGCAGCTGCACCTTACTCCGGCCGGGTCTGTGTCTGCAGGATCTGACCATCTGCTTCACCTTCTGTGTGCTGACCGTCTGCACTGACGTACAGCTGAAACCCTGCAGGACCGGCACCGACAGCCTGAACACACACACACACACACACACACACACACGTTTGTTAGATTGTGTGTGCACCGACAGTAGACAGGTAACCTCTCTGAGGGACTTACTCCTCTGTATCTTGACTGACACTCGCCACTGAGCTGAACAACACCAGAGCCTGCAAAACAACAACACAACACACAGTGAGCACACACACACACACACACACACACACACACACACACACACACACACACACACACACACCTGCTCCTGCGTCCACTGCTTCTGGTTGATCAGGCTAAGGTTCACAGAGCCCTGTGGAGCCAGCAGCACCGGTGGGATGGAGCTGGCCAGCTGATCCGGAACGTTCTGCAGAACTTGTGTGACATCGATGGACACAATCTGCAGAAGGACAGCAGAGAGCATTGGCCATAAGGAACACACACTGCAGAGGAACACACACCTTGGAGGAAACACAAATCCCAGAGGAACACACACCCCCAAGGAACACACACTCCTGAGGAACAACCGCCCCCCCAGGGAACACACACCCCTGAGTACACACACACCTTGGAGGTAACACAAACCCTAGAGGAACACCAACCCCAGATGGAACACACACACACCGCAGAGGAACACACATCCCAGAGGATTACGCAACCCTTTGAGGAACACACACCCCACAGAGGAACACTCACCCCAGATGGAACACACACACCCCCGAGAAACACACACTTTCTGGAAAACTAGCCTCACCTGCATGACGTACACCATCTGCAGGACCTGCGGTGCCGCCACCATGTTGCTGATGAATGTGGGGTTCTGGGATACGGAGAGCAGTGTGGAGGGCTGGATGCTGGAGAGTGTGTCTGACGGAAGACCTTTGACCAGCGTGCCGAGAGCCAAGAGAGACGAGTCGCTGTCGATCTGGAAACAACACGCGTTACACACTCACTGACACACGTTACACACTCACAGACACACGTTACACACTCACAGACACACGTTACACACTCACAGACACACGTTACACACTCACTGACACACGTTACACACTCACAGACACACGTTACACACTCACAGACACACGTTACACACTCACAGACACACGTTACACACTCACAGACACACGTTACACACTCACAGACACACGTTACACACTCACAGACACACGTTACACACTCACAGACACACGTTACACACTCACTGACACACGTTACACACTCACAGACACACGTTACACACTCACTGACACACGTTACACACTCACAGACACACGTTACACACTCACTGACACACGTTACACACTCACTGACACACGTTACACACTCATAGACACGCGTTACACACTCACAGACACACGTTACACACTCACTGACACACGTTACACACTCACAGACACGCGTTACACACTCATAGACACAAGTTACACACTCACAGACACGCGTTACACACTCACAGACACGCGTTACACACTCACAGACACACGTTACACACTCACAGACACACGTTACACACTCACAGACACACGTTACACACTCACTGACACACGTTACACACTCACTGACACACGTTACACACTCACTGACACACGTTACACACTCATAGACACGCGTTACACACTCACAGACACACGTTACACACTCACAGACACGCGTTACACACTCATAGACACAAGTTACACACTCACAGACACGCGTTACACACTCACAGACACGCGTTACACACTCACAGACACACGTTACACACTCACTGACACACGTTACACAATCACAGACACGCGTTACACACTCACTGACACACGTTACACACTCACTGACACACGTTACACACTCACAGACACACGTTACACACTCACTGACACACGTTACACACTCACAGACACGCGTTACACACTCATAGACACAAGTTACACACTCACAGACACGCGTTACACACTCACAGACACGCGTTACACACTCACAGACACACGTTACACAATCACTGACACACGTTACACAATCACTGACACACGTTACACACTCAGACACACGTTACACACTCAGACACACGTTACACACTCACAGACACACGTTACACACTCACTGACACACGTTACACACTCACAGACACACGTTACACACTCAGACACACGTTACACACTCACAGACACACGTTACACACTCACAGACACACGTTACACACTCACAGACACACGTTACACACTCACAGACACACGTTACACACTCACTGACACACGTTACACACTCACAGACACACGTTACACACTCACAGACACACGTTACACACTCACAGACACACGTTACACACTCACAGACACACGTTACACACTCACAGACACACGTTACACACTCACAGACACACGTTACACACTCACAGACACACGTTACACACTCACAGACACACGTTACACACTCACAGACACACGTTACACACTCACAGACACACGTTACACACTCACAGACACACGTTACACACTCACAGACACACGTTACACACTCACAGACCCCAGATCAGCCTGATCCAGAGCTGTCCAGAGCTCTTCCTCTTCCATTTTCTTCATGTCTCTCCAAAGCATTACATCATACCATATTATTATTATTCACTTGATTCTGATTGGTCATTCATACAGTGTATGTTATTCAGGATGACGACCGCTGAATAACACAGACTCATCTGCGTACTGCTTATCCTCTAGACCGTGAGTAACTATGTTCACACACACATTGGCATGAATATATATATATATACACATGCCAGTCTGCTTTGTCCCTGGTTTTGCCTGTTTGGCGCCATCTTGTGTTAGTGTAGTGCTAGTGTTGTCTATATGTTAGTGTATGCTCCATTCAGCAGTTTTTGTTTTGTCAGTTTTGTTGTTAATTGCTGTATTTAAAGCCCTTCAGTCCTGTACTATATTATACAACAGTGTGTGCTGTCATCATGACAGAGTTAAAGAAAGGAGTTATTAATATCTGTCATGTTTAGAAATGTGTTGAGTTTTTTTTCTTTGCGTTAAACCAGGAGTCAGCAAACTTATTCTCGAAGTTCTGGTGTCCTGCAGATTTGAGCTCCAACCCTGATCAAACACACCTGAACAAGCTGATCGAGCTCTTACTCGGGAGACTTCAAACACTCAGGCAGGTGTGTTGAGGCAGGTTGGAGCTCAACCCTGCAGGGCACCGGACCTCCAGCACCAGGATTGGTGACCCCTGTGTTAAAGAGTAAGTGGGGCAGATATACAGGGGGGCTAATAATGCTGACTCCCGTAACGCATTTAATTAATTTAATTTAATACAAATGTTATTTAACTCATTTTAATATTGAGCTCCATAATCAAACCTGTGTATCAGAAGTGTGCAGTTTTCTGTCAGCTCTGGGTGTTTGTTGTCACACTCACCACATAGTTGGACTGTATGAGCGTCTGCACGATGGCGTCGGCCTGGCCCTGACTCCAGCCGTCCACAGAGCTCAGCGTGGCCAGAGAGCTCCTGATAACAGCGGGCGGAGCGGCGCTAATCTGGCCCTCCGTCAGCCCCACGCTCTGATTGCCCAGCAGCTCGATGGTGTTGGAGGACAGCGAGGGCAGATTATCTGTGAGGGCAGCCGTGATCTGGGTGGAGGAGAATGATGGAGCGTCACACTCGCTTCAGACCACTCACATTTAAACCAACAACCACTCTGACACACTGTGATGGAAATAACCGAGGAGCAACAACACTGTTTATAGCCATGACACACACCTCACTGAGTGTGAGTGCATGGATATATACATACAGGTCTGTGGTTCTGTACATACAGGTCTGTAGCCGTGGTTCTATAGATAGGTCTATCATGGTTCTATAGAGACAGGTCTACAGATGTTGCTCTCTAGTTCTGTGATTATGGTCTGTCACTGCAGGTGAAATGAGGAATGGAAAAGGCAGATGGAGTGACGGATTGAATGGACTGGGTTACCTGAGGGTTCTGGGTGCCGTTGCAGTACATGTTGATGCTTTGGATGAGACGCAAACTGTCTGCTTCACTGAGAGGCTCAAACGCCACGGCAGGGATATCACAGAGGAACTGCGGTGGCACACTTTACACACACACACACACACACACACACACACACACACACACACACACACACACACACACACACACACACACACACACACACACACACACACACAAGTGATTATAATTATTATGTATTAGATAATCAGATTCCAGAACCGGATGTGTTTAACTAGAGTACGCTGCTGCTGAAACACTGGGGATCAGATTACAGTACTTCATGGTTTACATGATTATCCACATGAAGGCAGCGAGTTGTTCAACATGAGCTGATTTTTCTTAAACATCTCTATACTCTCAATTAAACTGTTGTTTCTGATAAAGAATGAAGATTGTTTTTGTTTCTATCACAAGATTATCCTGCGTCAATAAACATGATGTCCGTAAAGACGTAATCTACGAGATTATAGACCTGACTACTAATGCTGTAACCTGATTCGGAATCAGTAATCCACCAAACTCTGCCAGTTCTGTAGGATCCACACCAGCAGATGACAGCTGTATCACTGTGTGTGTGTGTGTGTGTGTGTGTGCGCTCGCCGTACCTCATGGGATTAAAGTACTGGTCCAGGATGTAGAGCTGTGTGATGTAGTACTCCACTACGCTGGACTGGATGCCCGCGGTGCTGTTGAGCAGCTGAAGGTTTCCCGGGTCCTCTAAGAACACACCGATCTGCAGAACAACACAGAAGCACAGCCGCTGGAAAAACAGCACTCGCTTGGGTATGTGTGTGTGTGTGTGTGTGCGTGTGTGTGTGTGTGTGCTTTACCTGGTCAGACGACACAAAGGAGTTGAGATCGGACAGACTGACGTAGCTGATGAAGACTCCGATGTAGCTGACAAACCAGTCTGTGGAGTTCAGCTGAGGATCGGCTGCGTTATAACACCGCGGAGAACCATCTGCACACACACACACACACCATTAACATGCAAACACACACACACCTCGTACACATAAACCTAGACAGGGTGCAAACTCTCACCATTGCTGAGATACTCCTTGATGGAGCTGTACACATCCTCTGGGCTGAAGTTAGTCTCAGAGTAGTTGTAGTTTTTTCCAAGTACTGAAATACTACACACACACACACACACACACACACACACACACACACACAGGTCAAACGTCTGCGACACAATAACAGCTTTAACAATCGATCATCAAAGTATTGTTTAGATATGCACTTCAGTTCATTCAGGAGGGTTGGGGAGGGGGTTGTGTGTGCATGGAGATGTGGTGTGTTTGTATGCATGTGTGTGTTTGTGTGTGTGCATGTGAGGAGTTGTGTGTATGCCTGTGGAAGACCACTGGAGGAGGGTGTGTGCATGGAGATGTGTCTGTGTGTGTGTGTGTGTGTGTGTGTGTGTGTGTGTTGTAAGCTCTTACAGTTTTCTGTATGACAGGCAGGAGGCGCTCTGGAGCTCTGCGGGGCTTATAAGCTGTAAGGTGAGCAATGGCAGGTATCTCAGCAGCCGCAGGTCAAACCACTCGTTCACCTCAGACGGGCCGTTCAGTTGCAGAACTCCAGGCCAGACGCAGGTCAACACCTGACGGGCCAAAGCCTGCGAGCCCAGCGGCGCCTGTGCGGGACACAGCGATTAATACAAGAGCAGAGCGCTTTCTAAACCTCCCACCCCATCATCACACACACACACACACACACACGAGATATGGTGTGCAGGACGTCTGATTCTACATCTGTACAGGACAAGTGTGAAAATCACCACAACTGGCTGACTGGAGCGTGACTGATGAAGTGTGTGCTGCTCTGTCATTTCCTTTAGGATGGACAGAAATGAAATAAACTATAGAGGATGCTTTAGAGAGCTCAGCGGAGAGACTTTACTGCTACTGGAACCATGATTTGAGGAGTTAGTCCTCACATATAGTCTGACAGAGCAAATAGTGCGAGTCTCTACATGTGTGTGTGTGTGTGTGTGTGTGTGTGTGTGTGTGTGTGTGTCTGCAAGGCTCTGGAATTCAGTGGTCTAACAGCTGTTTTTTAACTCTCAGTCATGATAAAAGGGTCGTGAAAATGTGTGTTATATATGTACAGTTGAAGTCAGAATTATTCGCCCCCCTGAATTATTTTTCCTCCAGTTTCTGTGTATCAGAGAGCAGATTTCTCCAACACATGTCTGATCATAACAGTGTTAATAACTCATCTCTAATCACTGATTTATTTCCTCTTTGTCATGATGACAGTACATAATATTAGACTAGATATTCTTCAAGACACTTCTATACAGCTTACAGTCACATGTAAAGACTTCACTAGGGTAATCAGGGTGAAGTTAGGGTAATTAGGCAAGTCATTGTATAATGATGGTTTGTTCTGGAGACTATTGAAAACAAATATAGCTTAAAGGGGCGAATAATATTGAGCTTAAAATGGTGTTTAAAAAATAAAAACTGCTTTTATTCTAGCTGAAATAAAACAAATCAGATTTTCTCCAGAAGAACAAACATTATCAGACACACTGTGAACATTTCCTCAATCTGTTCAACATCATTTGGGAAATATTAAAACAAGAAAATAAATTAAGGGGCGAATAATTCTGACTTCAGCTGTATACGAGACTGCCAGCAAATGAACACAGAAAACTATATACAAGAAGATCTGGTGATAAAGCTCTCAGTCACTCTTACAACCTCGGCTCAACACCCACCGTCTGCAGATACACTGCCGTCTGGTTGTACGCGCTGAGCAGTTCACAAAGCCCAGATGAGCTCCCGACGGCTTGAGTAACGTTCAGGAACTCACTGAGCTCTGATGGAGACATGGAGCTCAGCACCTGCAGGAACACAGAGGATTAGGAGCACGCATGTACACACACGCACGCACGCACGTACGCACACACACGCACGCACACACACACACACACACACTCACTTACACACACACACACACACACAGATGATTATGCAGTCAGTGGGCGTGTCCTGGAACTCCGCCTTATTTGACATTATTATTTTTTTGTTCAGAGTCCGGATGGAGAAAATCATCCAGCACAACAGCACTAAAGGCACCTCGACACAGCTGATTTAAGGAGAAGCTACAGCGGGTTTGTGTTATTTGTGGTGTAAATACGGTAAAGCTGGAAGCATTAAGTTAGCAACATGAATAATCAGGAGGGTGGAGCAGCAGAGCATCAGATGTTGTCAGATGTGTTAATCACTCGCAGGGAGATTTTAAACTCTCGGAGTCTCACACCAAGCACACCGCGTCATGTCCTGTCTTAATAATAATAAAGTTGTAAACATGTTCTCATTCAGTGTCTGTCTGTGGCAGATATACAGCAATGATGCATGCCACAGTGTCGCTTCACGCTGGAGAAGACTGGTGCATCTCATTCACACGGGCGTCAGCGTTAAAGCTTTCCATTCACTCTGATTGGGTGACGTCAGGCGTAGCCGAACTGCATTGTGGATCCGTCAGCGCTGCTTCAGTGGTGTTGCTTGCTGCAAAAGTTGGGACTTTCTCAACTTTTCAAGCACCAACTGAAGCGTCAGCCAATCAGATCGCTGTATGCAAATACACCAGCTCAGACAGGCCGATTGCTGACTAATTTCATTGGCTGATGCTGCTATGAGGATCGCATCAGCCCAACTTCAGACACGCCCTCTGTCAAGCGCTGACGCTGAAGCCTCGTGTGAATCAGGGTCAGTCTTTCATGAAACTCGTCTTCTCTCTCAGCCTCTAATGTTGTTGTGTTTAGGAGTCGAGCGGCAGCAGCGTTACAGCTCCACCTACTGCAGCACGCCAGAGTCTCCAAATACAGTATACCGTCACTCACACAGCTGTTAAAAGACCTCAGTTTGAGCTAGACCTCTGCCTTACCTGTGTCCGGCTGGCCTGCGGGATCAGGGACAAGACACTGCTCAGATCTGGGAGACCGAACTGCTGGAAGGAGGACCGGAGGAACAGGAGGAAGCTGCCGCCTGTGTAACAGCGCAGAGGAGAACCTGAAAGAGACACAACACAACGCACGTCTGAATCTTTACTAACAGCGCTTCTGCAATATGCTAAAGCTTTGGAGACGTGTTTAGTTTGCCTCCTGGTCTGAGGAGAGAAGCCGCGTCTCCTGCAGTGTGTAACTATAGCTCAACCTTTTGCCCATTCTGTTCCTTCACCCTGTCAACAAGAGCTGTTCATCTCATTTCCATCAACAATAAGATCTGTCGTGCTGAATCATGAAGAATAACGCCAGTAAAGCTGCTAATCCAGCATCTCAGCGGCCTGTACCTTCAGCTCTACCTGCGTATCCTCGGGCCTCAGATAGGGGCAAACGAAGCTCCCAGACGACAACGCAGCTCTCAAATCTGAACCTTTCTCCTCTACACAATGATCTTGCAGAGATATCACACGCTGTGTGCTGGCTGACGAGCTGTCAACAGTGAAGCAGAGCTTTCTGATACAGCGAGCACAGTCCAGGCCCACGTGACCGATATGAAACACACAACTAAAGACAATCTTGAATGAGCTGCTCTGACGAGGTCCCCAAGATTCAAGAGATCGTGGATTTTCATGGAAGACGACTGTGGGGATCTTGAAGCTAGATCATGGTGAAATAATATACCAATTGTGGGGATACTTGAGAATATATTTACAGATTATCTTGTTTGCTTTGAGCTGGATAAAGAAACTAGGTTCCTCTTCATTTTCATTATCACTATCCCAGCAGAGCAGAACACAGGTCTTGCAAATATGCAGACCCTTTCTCAATGGCTTGACACATTTTCCCCACCATTTTTCAAAACAGTCAACACAGAGGTCATTGAGCAGTCCAAACTCCATTGTTTTAGCTATGGTAACCAAACAGAAACCATCTGTTCCTAACTATTAAAAACTACCAACATCAGTATGAAATCACTGAAGCACCGGTTTGATGCTGTGTTCACACCAGACGCGGAACGCCCGGATAAATCGCGCTATTCACTCGTAAATTTCCGCGTGAACATTTGAGTTTACTTGCTTCATTCGCCCGTCAAATCCGCTTCAATCGCGGGTCAAATTCACTTCAAAACAGACGCGGATTCGCGTGATGGGCAGGGCCTCTGTCTGCTCTGTGACTCTAGCTTCATAGCTAAATGGCTAACATGGATTTTATGAAGAAAATAACAGTGTTAATGTGCACGTCAAACGCGCAAACGCTCAATTCGCCTCGTGCGTATTGTGCTATTCGCACCGCGCCATTCGCGCAATTTGCGCCGCAGGATGTCTATTCGCACGTTTGCATTGACTTAACATGTAAATCACTCGCACTTGACGCGCATGCCGCATCTGGTGTGAACGCAGCATAACACTTCACACAAATCTTCAATTAGCAATCAGTCTGCAAACCTTATAAAACAGCGGCAGGTCTGTGCTGTTCTGTGCCAGCATTGATGGAGGAGGTCAATATGGCTATGTCCTATACTCCCAATAGATATGACTGTATACTGGTGTACACGTATTTTCTCTATTATTTACAGTATTTTATTACTTTTGTGTTTTTTTATTTAATTATTTTAAATACAGTATTTCAGTTTTCAGCCACAGTTTGAAAAATGTCCTGAATTCAGTATATATTTAATCAAAGCATTTCTTATTCTGGATCCAATTCTTTGCAAAAAGGCAAATTTGACAGCCCAAATGGAAAGACAACAAATGCCATTGACAATAAGCTACAATGGCAAGCAATGGTGGTGCACTGACCCCTGTATTTTGTATTTTGTTGTGCATTGTGTAATGATTATTTGAAAGAGCTCATATACTTGTTTGCAAGTTGTGTTGTTTGAAGGTAAAACTAGCTTTTGTTTCGTATTTTAAATGTTTTGACACAATATGTGCCTTTTGCAAGCAAACTGCGTCATTTTGTCCATGAGTGCCGCTGTTTAGACCTGTGTGTGTTCACTGTTTTCAAAATGTGGAGTTTCAGTTGACAACTGCATCAAAGCAATCGAGAAAAACTGTAGTTCTGCAATTATTATAGTGTTACTCCGAGATGCTTGTAGGATAATTAGCAAAAAACCTTACATGAGGATTTGAGTGAAACCTGTCAGAAATGAGGGATATGGAGATGAGGTCTCAGTGCTCATCTTCAAGAACAAGACCAACTCTCAGAGGAACGTTCTGTTAATGTTGGAGGAACGTTTGTTCATGACATGAAGAGATATTCCCTTTATTTCACACTGATATCAAACAGCAGTCATGACCTCCGTCAACGATTCATCTGCTATTGTCTGAAGATCAAATAATCTTGACAGAACACACGACATTTCACACACACACACACACACACACACACACACACACACACACACACACACGCACACACGCACACACACACGTCTGACAGCTCAGGGGTAAGAAGAGGAGGAAAACATGGGGTTAAGCAGTGTTTGAAGGGTTTACCTTACTGAATGTGTGTGTGTGTGTGTGTGTGTCTGAGTCAGTGTGTGTTTGTTTTGAGCGTGTGTTTACCTGTGAGTAACTGTAGGATGCTGTTGTAGATCTCACGCTGTGTGTTTCCATCAAGAGCCGTTCTCAGAGTGTTCAGCTCAGTCACTCTGTTACATACACACACACACACACACACACACACACACACACACACACACACACACAGGTCAGTAACACATCTGTGAGCACATGAACAGTTCGTCACATGTAACGTGTCGATGTGTCTTACGCCGTCTGTCTGACGCCACAGCCTCGAGAAGCGACGATGGCGAAATACGGCGAGACATCAGAGGCAGTCAGAGAAGACAGGAGGGGGCGCAGTCGAACCGTGAGCCAGAGCGACACTTCCGCATCACTGAGAGAAGAAGACCACAGATCCCGTCTGTTCAACACCACCTGCAGGAACGCCTGCTTCAGCTGCGCAGGGTACACCAGACCGCTCACCTGCACACACACCAGGACATCAGGCTCAGCACACACACACACACACATGCATGCACACAGCAAGGAAGAAACACTTCACGCACTGAGATATTTTGAGAGAGATCATTGAAGAAGAGTGTGAGCTGCTGCGTGTCGAGCACACTCATCACAGTCTGCACGTCCTGCGGCCCGCTGAGGCGCGAGGGGGCGGAGCAAAGCTGAGCCAGCTGAGGTGGAGTCAAGAGAGCTGCGGCTTCAACCTGCACACACACACACACACACACACACACACACTTACTACACACACTTACTACACACACTGCAGGACCAACACGTCTAGGCCACTAGAAATGCCATTGAGTGCAGACAGGATTTCAGTGTGTGAAATGTGCTTCTAGATCTCAGCTGGATGTCTTCTCCTGCTGCTCTTATTCACTTCCCCATGCTCCTGCACATGTGTACTGCATACTGTCAATGTGTACAGCTAAATCATCAGCCCTCCTGAATCTTGTGTTCTGTTTCAGATATTTCCCACGTGATGTTGAACAGTGAAAGGACATTACCCTGGTAACTCTGTCTGCTCCCATCGCTTGTTTAATGTATAATGCTCGGCGATACTGTACGAATGTAAAGACCTTCTTCATTTCTCAGCTCATGAGCATGTAGTAAACTGTGTGTGTGTGAAAGCAGTAGACAGGAATGACAGCACACAGGCGTCGTCCCTCCGCTCACCCCATCAAAGTCTTTATTCAGGCTGATCAGGTCACTGAAGCTGGCCCACATGCTGAACCGCCCGAAACTCTTCATCAGCCAGTCTGAGCTGTTGCTCGTGCCCTGAACACAGGAGCTTCCTGAAAACAGAGAGACACAAGACTCTGAAACTCTTAAACACACACACACACACGCACGCACGCACGCACGCATGCACACACGCACGCACACGCGCATGCACACGCGCACACACATGCACACACACGCACACGCGCATGCACACGCGCACACACACACACACACACACACACACACACACACACACACACACACACACACACACACACACACACACACACACACGCGCACACGCACACACTGTTTTCTTTTGCTGCTACCCTCTCATAGACATAATGATCTTTCTACTGTACACACGGTGTATAAACCCTGAACTCAGCTCTCACAGGGAGCAATCTGCAGTTTTACATTTTCAAAATAGTTCACTTTGTGTGATTTATGAACCATTATCCTCATGGGGACTAAAAAAGGTTGAAAATTACTGGCATTGTTATACTTGTGGGGACATTTGGCCCCACCAAAATGCAAGCAATAATAGGTATACACACACACACGCACACACACAGACACACGCACACACACACAGACACACGCAATATACCTGGACTGGGCTTATGGGTCAGATAGTCCATTGTGAATCTGTAGACATCATTGGTCTGTACCGATGTGAGTTTGCTGAATACATCATCACAGCCTCTCACACTACCAAGACAGAAGAAAGGATGCATGATTAAACTGATGCACGACTTTGATTGCTTCTTTAAGAAATTGAGTAAAATTCTGAGAAAAAGTCTTCAGACTCTGATGTGTAAAATTTCCATCTCTGCACAAACCAGACACTCTCCATCCAATACTAATGTTAGGTACAAGACTCAAAATCATCAGGATAAATATTGTATTATTAAAATCGCAGTCAAACATTTTTTGAAACATGTATTCAACTCAATTCAATTATTCAGAGAACACATGAACACTATCATCTACCACAACCATCTACCCATCCTCAAATTCAAATACAACATCTTGCAAGAAAGCAGCCCTAAGTACAATATGTGTGCAAGGCTGCGTGTGAGGTTAGACGTAGTGATGGGCAGGGCCGGATTAACCAATGGGCATTATGGGCACACACTGCACATACTCTCCATCACGAGGAAGACAAGTAGGAATCATTAATAAGTGTGTGTTATGGAGGACTCAGATTCTTAGAACTGGATTGGAGAGGTGTAATCCAAATCATATGCGTTATAAGTTTGTAGAAGTTATACATTAAAAATACCTTAAATATAAATTTTAGTGCTGCTTCAGTGAACTTGAACAAGTATATTAAAATCCATCAATTTCCCCGAGTTGTATTAGTATTTTTTCAAAGTGTTCTTTAACTGCTTTAAAAATAAGTGACATCTCTGTAGACTAGAAATATATGTACTGTATATCATTTATTAAAAAAAATGTGGGCAATACATTACAGATTAATTTTATTTAACAAATATTATACTAATCTTATTTTTTTCATTAAAATATGGGGTGCGGCTATAGGGGGCCTACAAGACATTGTGCCCAGGGGCCTCTGAATTATTAATCCGGGCCTGGTGATGGGAAATTCAGATTTCTGACGCGGATGTTTGGACTCAACATTATGTAGTCAGCAATAGTCATTTCAGTCAGTTTAAACATCAACATGATCTGAAAAATGTCTTACAGTAAAGTTTTACTAACTGTAAACCCAACTGCTGCACTTATTTAAATTTCATTACCATTGTCTGTTATGAAATAAACTTACGTTTTTCTCCAGATGCTCTCATTTAAGCCCTCGGTTTACCCGCGCTGCAGTTGTTCAAAGTTCAGTTCAGTCATACAGCAGGATGTGTCGTTTGTGTTTGGTTCACTGAATTACGCATGCGCAGTATTATCGGTTCAACGCCACTCACTGTAACGTTGCTATTCTAATTATTGAATGAGAGCGTACATTGGATTTTTTAGAGTCAGAGGGGGTATTAGGCTTGTTATTAAGCAAGAAGTGGGTGAATAAGTGCTTAATGGAGACGCGAATCATTTCAAATGATTCAGTTCGATTTGGTGAACTTGTTCAACCGGTTCACTTAGAAGATCCGGTTAAAAAGATTCGTTCGCGATCGCGATACAGAAATAAAACCCATTATTGGGCACAAATGTGTTAAAGTAATAGTTTTAAGTCTCTGTATTTAATGCTGTCACCGTGCTGCTGTCATGTCCACTCGTTGTTTTTGTCGCGGGAGCAACAGAGAGGATGAGGAGAACCGGCTCGATCTGGCCAATGACGGCAGGAGACTCTGAGGTGCGAAAGGGTCAAACACAAACACCTGCAGCGCGGGTATATTTACTTCTAAAATGCTTACAGTAAGATTATGCATCACATACAGTTACAAATACGAAAACGAAGGAGGTTTTTGCTATAATTCTAGTTAGTTTCAGTTAGTTTTGTATGTATATCCCTGCAGAAAATCCAGCTTAAACCAGCCTAGGCTGGTTGGCTGGTTTTAGCTGGTCGACCAGGATGGTTTTAGAGGGGTTTTGGCCATTTCCAGCCTGGTTTTAGCTGGTCAGGCTGGAAACTGACCGGCTAAATCGAGTTAAAACCAGCTTGACCAGCCTGGTTTACGCTGGACATAGCTGGTTTTGGCTGGGCTCCCAGCCTGGCTAGGCTGGTTAAGCTGGTTTTAGCTGGTCATCTCCCTGCCTGACCAGCTAAGACCAGGCTGGAAATGGCTGAAAACCAGCCTGGAAATGGCCAAAACCCCTCTAAAACCAGCCTGGTTGACAAGCTAAAACCAGCTAACCAGCCTAGGCTGGTTTAAGCTGTTTTTTTTCAGTACAATACATTTTCAGTTAGTTCTAGTTTTTGAAAAAACTCTCGTTTTTGTTTTTATTTCAGTTAATGACAATTATTTTACATTTTAGTTTTCGTTTTTTCGTTTGTTCGTAATAACTAGACACTGATAGACTGAATGTGACGATTTATTGTTAATAACTAGGCACTGATAGACTGAATGTGACGATTTATTGTTAATAACTAGGCACTGATAGACTGAATGTGACGGTTTATTGTTAATAACTGGGCACTGATAGACTGAATGTGACGGTTTATTGTTAATAACTAGGCACTGATAGACTGAATGTGACGGTTTATTGTTAATAACTAGGCACTGATAGACTGAATGTGACGATTTATTGTTAATAACTAGGCACTGATAGACTGAATGTGACGATTTATTGTTAATAACTAGGCACTGATAGACTGAATGTGACGATTTATTGTTAATAACTAGGCACTGATAGACTGAATGTGACGGTTTATTGTTAATAACTGGGCACTGATAGACTGAATGTGACGATTTATTGTTAATAACTAGGCACTGATAGACTGAATGTGACGGTTTATTGTTAATAACTAGGCACTGATAGACTGAATGTGACGGTTTATTGTTAATAACTAGGCACTGATAGACTGAATGTGACGATTTATTGTTAATAACTAGGCACTGATAGACTGAATGTGACGATTTATTGTTAATAACTAGGCACTGATAGACTGAATGTGACGATTTATTGTTAATAACTAGGCACTGATAGACTGAATGTGACGGTTTATTGTTAATAACTAGGCACTGATAGACTGAATGTGACGGTTTATTGTTAATAACTAGGCACTGATAGACTGAATGTGACGATTTATTGTTAATAACTAGGCACTGATAGACTGAATGTGACGGTTTATTGTTAATAACTAGGCACTGATAGACTGAATGTGACGATTTATTGTTAATAACTAGGCACTGATAGACTGAATGTGACGGTTTATTGTTAATAACTAGGCACTGATAGACTGAATGTGACGGTTTATTGTTAATAACTAGGCACTGATAGACTGAATGTGACGGTTTATTGTTAATAACTAGGCACTGATAGACTGAATGTGACGATTTATTGTTAATAACTAGGCACTGATAGACTGAATGTGACGATTTATTGTTAATAACTAGACACTGATAGACTGAATGTGATGGTTTATTGTTAATAACTAGGCACTGATAGACTGAATGTGACGGTTTATTGTTAATAACTAGACACTGATAGACTGAATGTGATGGTTTATTGTTAATAACTAGGCACTGATAGACTGAATGTGACGGTTTATTGTTAATAACTGGGCACTGATAGACTGAATGTGACGGTTTATTGTTAATAACTAGACACTGATAGACTGAATGTGACGGTTTATTGTTAACAACTACTGTGTGTTTTTCAAGGAGAAAATCATATCTGAAATGCTTAATGAATGAGGGGAATCATTGCACTTGACAGCAAATAGCACGCACGAGCATTATTCATCCATTGTAGACTACTTTGGGTAAAGGTGGCTACCATAGGAAGCAACTAGAAGACTTTCTTTGTTTGAGAGAATACTTCATCACAGAGACATTTCGGCAAATCAGGTAGTTCTCACATTTCTGTGTAAGAATCGCAGTTGATGGTCAAGGGGATGACAGAGAGGGTGTTTGGCCCGATCCCAGGGAGGAAAATGCGAAGGTAAGTCTGGAACCAATCAGCAAATGTCTGCGGAAAGAAGTTTTGGAATCTGTCCTCCAGGGCCACCAGTGTCATGTTCAGAATGACGCTGCTCACAGTAGTGCTGACACTAAAGACGTTCCTCTGGAAAACAAAATAGAAAAGATACGGTGAAAAGTCAAAACAAGCAAAAAAAAAAAAAAACATTACAGCTAAATTCAACACCAAAAACATTCTCACCTGTGCAGACATGCTAGTGAATGTGATGAAGAACTGTTTTAACTGGTTTTGAGAGTTTACAACAGATGCAAAGAGTTGTCTGACAGAGGTTTCGTCCTCCAGGAGACCCGGGATCAGGATACGCTCAACCTTCTGTTCATCAGTTAGAGAGCCAAACACGGCTTCCTGCACAGAGAAGGAGACACTATTGGCCTGTCTGTGCTGACTGAATCCAAGACCATTTGCAAGAGTGTGATTTTAACTTTACCGATGAGATGTTGAATGCGGCTAGGTCCGAATAAGGCACATAGTTGAAGAACTGACCAAGGTTCATTTGCAGCCAGTCAGAATCATTTGTGATGCCCTGTTTGCAGGCTGCAGATTATAGATACAGTTTTATAGCTCATTAAATTACATTTTTCATAGAGTAACTTGTCAAGATAACTCAATTGTTAATAATATTATTAATGTAAGCAGAGATCTTGATTTATTGTTTTAATAATACAAGTGGAAATACCTGGCTGATTGATCTGGTAGACAATTTGTTTAAGGTGTGCCACTAGACCTGCAGCAATTTCCTTTCTTCTTTGGACAGGCATTTGAGAATAAACCTTACTAAGACCTTTAACACTGTAAATGACATGAGATTAACAAGATGTGTACTGTTCATTGCATTGAAATAAACACACAAAGCAAAATCAACATCTTCTGGACAGTTTTAGAGTTTTAAAGGATTTGCAAAAATATATATGCATTTAATCAGTCCAAGATAAAAAAATATAAAGATAGGACTTCAACCTTTGAGAGATGTACTTTAAATTATTCACTGATAAGTAATAGCAACTATTGTGAAGCCATGAATGTGAATGTGCATAAAAAAATTCACTGACTGACGGAGGAATATTTTAAAGAGCTACAGAAACATTTACAAATATCACTCACATCACACGGTAGTCGGTGCAGTTGACTGAAGCTGTGACCTTAACCAGCATTTCTGTGGTGAAACTGGGGAGGATGGGAACGAGATTCACGGTGAACCACACCACCCAATCGTGAGTCTCAAATTTCCGGAAATAGCCTTCAATGATTGCGAAGGTGCGGTTCATCATCACGTCACTCACAGCAGGGCTGATGACAGGAATCTGTAGAGACACAACAACAGGAGTGTGAGTGGCACCGCAAGAAAGCCTCCTATTCTACACCTTTCTCTGGGGCATCCACACGGTCTATGCCACACATTTCAGCAGATTGACTTGCCTCTGGAGCTGCATTTAGTTCTGTCAGAAATTCCTTCATGTTCAGGAAAGCGTCGCCTTTCTCCAGCCGGTCAAACACAACCACGATCTGATCAGTGTTGTTTAGCGCTCCAGAGCTCAGGGTGATTTCAGCTACTTGAGTAGGGTTCAGCAGTGACAGCGATCCCAACTGAAGGACAAGATAGAGAGCAGAAGTTAGCGCAGGTGAAGCCCTTCACTTGAAAAAGACAGAAGATTCATCATGACAGATCACATGGACAACTGGAGAAAGGCATCAGGTACGCACACTGGAGAAATTGACATTCAGGGCTTCTAAAAACTCCACAGTAGCATAGCCAGAGAACAGGCCAAAGTTCTTCTCAAGCCATTCAGCGCTGCTCGTCATTTTGGAAAGACAGGCAGCATCTGCAGTGAACCAAGAGCATTGGAAAATTCAACAGAAACAGTGCAATTGTAAGCAAGCTGCAAAATTTGCCACAACCTCAGACGTTAAAAGATACCCTGATGAAGCTTGACAGTGACAGGGCTTACCTGTTCGGTCAGCTCTTGAGAGGAAGGGTTTGATGAAAGCATTGAAGACGTCCTGTTTTGTCTCCATTGCCATGAGCGATGATTGACGGCTGAGACCCAGCACCCTAAATAGGCAAAGAATGGTGGCCATTATGGATTGCCAGACTTCTCTCTCCTAAGCACCCCTTCAGCACTTCCACAGCATTGAGGTTACTTACGCTGCTTGGTAGGAGTCACAGCTGAAGTTCTTGGTACTCAAGCAGGATAGAAACTCCACAGAGACAGATGGCAAAAACGGTCTCAGACGCTCCTGGAACCAGGCTGTAATGAAGCTGGCATTTGTCAGCTGTGAAGCGCTAAAGTTGCTGATTGTCAGCTGTCCAATGGCATCCAGAATGTTGGATACAGCATGACCGTTGCTTAGGTTCTGGGAAAGCAAAGGGCACATATGTCACACACATGTCAAAACAGAGCCCTGTGGCAGTGTTTCACTTGTGTACTGGAAAATGCAGGGCTGCTACTGACCTGACTAGAGTACACGGACAGCGCATTCTCCAGAACCCCAGTGACTTTCTGGAAGAAAAGCTTCCACATCTCTGTGCTGTTGCTCATGACCGTTGATGCCTTGCAGGTCAGCAGCATGACGAGGTCATCAGAGGACAGAGAGGACGCAACCTTGGGGGGGGAAGCGGACAGATTTGTGCTGTTAGAGAAAAAGGTCTCTTTACAATTAACAGTCATACTGCTGCACGCTTCAGGAAAGGCTTACTGAAGAGCAGGCATATTCAGGAATGCTGAAGTTGCAGAGTTGAGCCGCGACGCTGCCTGATGTCTGAAGTTGTTCACTGCAAGGCACAAAAGCATGTTGTCCATTTACACCTCTGTTTTAAATCTTACCTCATTTCTCAGTAGACACCACAATGAAACTCACCTGTCTACACCTGCACAAAGCCTTTCCTCTGCAAAAAAGGTCAGAAAAGTTATCAGTGGCAGATCTTTATAGCCATCTCACAATATTATTAAAACTGAAAACATTTAGCAATCTTTGTTCCGACTCACCATCGATCAATGTTTCCTCGCACTGGTGAGAGGTGAGACAAAGCAAAAATTAGAGAAAAGAATTAGGAAGAGCTTATCTTGGGCTTATCCTGACTCAAACAGAATGCCAACAGATGAAGTACTTACAACAGCGGTGGGGGACACGGTCGGTGGTGCAGTGGGTGGTACTGTGGATGGTGTGGTGGATGGCAAGGTGGGGGGCACTGTGGAGAGTGTGGTAGTTGTTGCAGTGGGTGGTACTGTGGATGGTGTGGTGGATGGCAAGGTGGGGGTTGCAGTGGGTGGAGCAATAGGTGGCACAGTGTTTTTAGCAGTGGGTGGCATACTGTATGGCAGTGTGGTGGGTGGTGCAGTGGCTGCTACTGTGGATGGTGTAATGGATGGCATGGTGGGAGATGCAGTGGGTGGAGCAATAGCTGTCGCAGTGTTTAGAGCAGTGGGTGGCATGGTGTATGGCAGCGTAGGGGGCGCTGTAGGGGGTGTGGTGGGTGGTGCAGTGGGTGCTACCATGGATAGTGTAGTGGATGCCATGGTGGGAGATGAAGTGGGTGGGGCAATAACTGTTGCAGTGTTTAGAGCAGTGGGTGGCATGGTGTATGGCAGCGTGGGGGGTACTGTAGAAGATGTGGTGGGTGGTGCAGTGGTTGGAGCAATAGGTGGCACAGTGTTTGGAGAAGTGGGTGGCACGGTGTATGGCAGCGTGGGGGGTACTGTGGGAGCTGTGGTGGGTGGTGCAGTAGGTGGTACTGTGGATGGTGTAATGGATGGCATAGTGGGAGAAGCAGTGGGTGGAGCAATAGCTGTCGCAGTGTTTAGAGCAGTGGGTGGCATGGTGTATGGCAGCATGGGGGGTTCTGTAGAAGATGTGGTGGGTGGTGCAGTGGTTGGAGAAATAGATGGCACAGTGTTTGGAGAAGTGGGTGGCACGGTGTATGGCAGTGTGGGGGGTACTGTGTGGGGTGTGGTGGCTGGTGCAGTCTGTGATACTGTGGATGGTGTGGTGGATGGCATAGTGGGGGTTGCAGTGGGTGGAGATATCGGTGGCACAGTGTTTGGAGAAGTGGGTGGCATGGTGTATGGCAGTGTGGAGAGAACTGTGGGGGGTGCTACTGTGGATGGTGCAGTGGATGGCATGGTGGGAGATGCAGTGAGTGGAGCAATAACTGTCACAGTGTTTAGAGCAGTGGGTGGCATGGTGTATGGAAGCGTGGGGGGTGCTGTAGGGGCTGTGGTGGGTGGTACTGTAAATGGTGTGGTGGATGGCATAGTGGGGGTTGCAGTGGATGGAGATATTGGTGGCACAGTGTTTGGAAAAGTGGGTGGCATGGTGTATGGCAGTGTGGAGGGAACTGTGGGGGGTGTGGTGGGTGGTGCAGTGGGTGCTACTGTGGATAATGTAGTGGATGGCATGGTGGGAGATGCAGTGGGTGTAGCAATAGCTGTCGCAGTGTTTAGAGCAGTGGGTGGCATGGTGTATGGCAGCGTGGGGGGTACTGTGGGGGGTGTGGTGGGTGGTGCAGTGGGTGGTATTGTAGTAGGTGTGGTGGATGGCATGGTGGGGGTTGCAGTAGGTGAAGCAATAGGTGGCGCAGTGTTTGGAGAAGTGGGTGGCATGGTGTATGGAAGCGTGGGGGGTGCTGTAGGAGGTGTGGTGGGTGGTGCAGTGGGTGGTACTGTGGATGGCATAGTGGGGGTTGCAGTGGGTGGAGATATTGGTGGCACAGTGTTTGAAGAAGTGGGTGGCATGGTGTATGGCAGTGTGGAGGGAACTGTGGGGGGTGTGGTGGGTGGTGCAGTGGGTGCTACTGTGGATAGTGTAGTGGATGGCATGGTGGGAGATGCAGTGGGTGGAGCAATAACTGTCGCAGTGTTTAGAGCAGTGGGTGGCATGGTGTATGGAAGCGTGGGGGGTGCTGTAGGTGGTGTGGTGGGTGGTGCTACCGTGGATAGTGTAGTGGATGACATGGTGGGAGAAGCAGTGGGTGGAGCAATAGCTGTCGCAGTGTTTAGAGCAGTGGGTGGCATGGTGTATGGCACCGTGGGGGGTACTGTGGTGGGTGGTGCAGTGGGTGGTACTGTAATAGGTGTGGTGGATAGCATGGTGGGGGTTGCAGTAGGTGAAGCAATAGGTGGCGCAGTGTTTGGAGCAGTGTTTGGCATTGTGTATGGCAGCGTGGGGGCTGCTGTAGGGGGTGTGGTGGGTGGTGCAGTGGGTGGAACAATGGGTGGCACAGTGTTTGGAGAAGTGGGTAGCATGGTGTATGTCAGTGTGGGGAGTACTGTGAGGGTGGTGGGTGGTGCAGTGGGTGGTACCGTGGATGGTGTGGTGGATGGCATAGTGGGGGTTGCAGTGGGTTGAGCAATCGGTGGCCCAGTGTTTGGAGCAGTTGGTGTCAAAGTGTATGGCATGGTGGGGGGCACTGTGGGGGGTGTGGTGGGTGGTGCAGTCATGCAGGCTAAAGAGAGAAGCCAAGACAAGAGATATTGGTCAATAGGAGGCAACTCTCATGACGCTGACATATTCAAATACATGTGGTCACAATTTGTTGGCTTTTCTCACCGCCCAGGCACTGCCTAAGTATTCCAGCAGCTTTACTGATGCCATACCTTTTGGTGGTGAATGTTGAAGTTTGTCTACACTTGAATTTAGCTCTACTCCAACTCCTGACGGAAGATCTGCCAAAGCTATCTTCATGCCTTCCAGTCTGTCAAAACAAACAACATTGCTCAATCTCCACTTTTATTTCTACAGAACGATTGAGAAATTAAAGCCAAGGGGGCTGGTTTGCTCACATTGCTTGGTAAGATTCGCATGTGATGTTGGCAGGGATGACTTCCAGCACTGTAGGACTGAAGCTGGCCAGCAGGACCACCAGATTGGTTTGGAACCACAGCTCATAGTCGCTTGTTTCAAATAGGGGAAGTTTGGGAGCCAGGGCAGTCATGGTCAGATTCAGCATTGTGTCTCGGACAGCCACATTTTCGATGTAGGTTATACTTTCCTGAAGGGGTGGAGGAAGGATGGGTTGCTGTTGGCTTGTTTAAATATCTAAAATCCGGTTCAGCTCATAAAGGTTAGTCACTCTGAAGACCTACCTACAAACATTACTCACCACTTTGCTGACTTTCACAAATGTTTCAAAAAACATCTCAAGTTGTTTCTCATCTGGAGACGTCAGTATGCTGGTCAACACCTCCTGTACCACGGTGACATTGTCTAGAGCATCGGTGGATGGATCCAGCAGTAGCTCTGCTTTCTGATCGGGTGCTAGGGATCCCAGAGCTGCCAACTAAGATGAACAAAGCAAAAACACAACACCAGAGGACATTATGCAAGACCGCCAGTGCTTTGGTGCCTGACCTAAACCAAGCAAACAAACAACAACAACAAAACTGTAGAAAGGAAAGATAAGAAAAAGATGGTACGTTACCATGCTAATGTTCAGGGACTTGAGGTCTGAGTAACTGGCTAAAGAGGAGAATCGACCCAAGTTGGTGTCGAGCCATTCAGCAGCGCTTTCAGTTTTCTGTCTGCAACCTGATTTTTTAAAGACAAGGATGGAGGAAGGTCAGCCTGCATCATGCACACAACAGGGGACACAACACACACCCTGGCCTGTTGTCTAAGAAAAAATATTTATATTGCAACCCATTCCCTTCCAGCAACAAGGAGATGCTGGAAAAAGGTGTTCTGGAAGGTTTACCTGGCATGCTGAATTTGGCAGCAGTTGTCTTTAGGTGCTCGACCAGAACATTGGTTATCTCCTGCCTCCTGGTAAATGTCATTCTCTGGAAATTGATTCCCAATCCCTTAACTCTGCAACACAAAGCCAAAGAGGGGTCATGAGGTGGAGATCCTGGTGCAGGCTGAAAAACATTCTCACTCTGAAGTTAGAAACTCACATCACACGGTAGTCGGTGCAGTTGACTGAAGCTGTGACCTTAACCAGCATTTCTGTGGTGAAACTGGGGAGGATGGGAACGAGATTCACGGTGAACCACACCACCCAATCGTGAGTCTCAAATTTCCGGAAATAGCCTTCAATGATTGCGAAGGTGCGGTTCATCATCACGTCACTCACAGCAGGGCTGATGACAGGAATCTGTAGAGACACAACAACAGGAGTGTGAGTGGCACCGCAAGAAAGCCTCCTATTCTACACCTTTCTCTGGGGCATCCACACGGTCTATGCCACACATTTCAGCAGATTGACTTGCCTCTGGAGCTGCATTTAGTTCTGTCAGAAATTCCTTCATGTTCAGGAAAGCGTCGCCTTTCTCCAGCCGGTCAAACACAACCACGATCTGATCAGTGTTGTTTAGCGCTCCAGAGCTCAGGGTGATTTCAGCTACTTGAGTAGGGTTCAGCAGTGACAGCGATCCCAACTGAAGGACAAGATAGAGAGCAGAAGTTAGCGCAGGTGAAGCCCTTCACTTGAAAAAGAGAGAAGATTCATCATGACAGATCACATGGACAACTGGAGAAAGGCATCAGGTACGCACACTGGAGAAATTGACATTCAGGGCTTCTAAAAACTCCACAGTAGCATAGCCAGAGAACAGGCCAAAGTTCTTCTCAAGCCATTCAGCGCTGCTCGTCATTTTGGAAAGACAGGCAGCATCTGCAGTGAACCAAGAGCATTGGAAAATTCAACAGAAACAGTGCAATTGTAAGCAAGCTGCAAAATTTGCCACAACCTCAGACGTTAAAAGATACCCTGGCAACTACAACAAGATGGGTGATGAAGCTTGACAGTGACAGGGCTTACCTGTTCGGTCAGCTCTTGAGAGGAAGGGTTTGATGAAAGCATTGAAGACGTCCTGTTTTGTCTCCATTGCCATGAGCGATGATTGACGGCTGAGACCCAGCACCCTAAATAGGCAAAGAATGGTGGCCATTATGGATTGCCAGACTTCTCTCTCCTAAGCACCACTTCAGCACTTCCACAGCATTGAGGTTACTTACGCTGCTTGGTAGGAGTCACAGCTGAAGTTCTTGGTACTCAAGCAGGATAGAAACTCCACAGAGACAGATGGCAAAAACGGTCTCAGACGCTCCTGGAACCAGGCTGTAATGAAGCTGGCATTTGTCAGCTGTGAAGCGCTAAAGTTGCTGATTGTCAGCTGTCCAATGGCATCCAGAATGTTGGATGCAGCATGACCGTTGCTTAGGTTCTGGGAAAGCAAAGGGCACATATGTCACACACGTGTCAAAACAGAGCCCTCTGGCAGTGTTTCACTTGTGTACTGGAAAATGCAGGGCTGCTACTGACCTGACTGGAGTACACGGACAGCGCATTCTCCAGAACCCCAGTGACTTTCTGGAAGAAAAGCTTCCACATCTCTGTGCTGTTGCTCATGACCGTTGATGCCTTGCAGGTCAGCAGCGTGACGAGGTCATCAGAGGACAGAGAGGACGCAACCTTGGGGGGGGAAGCGGACAGATTTGTGCTGTTAGAGAAAAAGGTCTCTTTACAATTAACAGTCATACTGCTGCACGCTTCAGGAAAGGCTTACTGAAGAGCAGGCATATTCAGGAATGCTGAAGTTGCAGAGTTGAGCCGCGACGCTGCCTGATGTCTGAAGTTGTTCACTGCAAGGCACAAAAGCATGTTGTCCAGTTACACCTCTGTTTTAAATCTTACCTCATTTCTCAGTAGACACCACAGTGAAACTCACCTGTCTACACCTGCACAAAGCCTTTCCTCTGCAAAAAAGGCCAGAAAAGTTATCAGTGGCAGATCTTTATAGCCATCTCACAATATTATTAAAACTGAAAACATTTAGCAATCTTTGTTCCGACTCACCATCGATCAATGTTTCCTCGCACTGGTGAGAGGTGAGACAAAGCAAAAATTAGAGAAAAGAATTAGGAAGAGCTTATCTTGGGCATAATGCCACCAGATGAAGTACTTACAACAGCGGTGGGGGACACGGTCGGTGGTGCAGTGGGTGGTACTGGGGACGGTGTGGTGGATGGCATGGTGGGGGGCACTGTGGGGGGTGTGGTGGGTGGTGGAGTCGTGCAGGCTAAAGAGAGAAGCCAAGACAAGAGATATTGGTCGATGGGAGGCAACTCTCATGACGCTGACATATTCAAATACATGTGGTCACAATTTGTTGGCTTTTCTCACCGCCCAGGCACTGCCTAAGCATTCCAGCAGCTTTACTGATGCCATACCTTTTGGTGGTGAATGTTGAAGTGTGTCTACACTTGAATTTAGCTCTACTCCAACTCCTGACGGAAGATCTGCCAAAGCTATCTTCATGCCTTCCAGTCTGTCAAAACAAACAACATTGCTCAATCTCCACTTTTATTTCTACAGAACGATTGAGAAATTAAAGCCAAGGGGGCTGGTTTGCTCACATTGCTTGGTAAGATTCGCATGTGATGTTGGCAGGGATGACTTCCAGCACTGTAGGACTGAAGCTGGCCAGCAGGACCACCAGATTGGTTTGGAACCACAGCTCATAGTCGCTTGTTTCAAATAGGGGAAGTTTGGGAGCCAGGGCAGTCATGGTCAGATTCAGCATTGTGTCTCGGACAGCCACATTTTCGATGTAGGTTATACTTTCCTGAAGGGGTGGAGGAAGGAGGGGTTGCTGTTGGCTTGTTTAAATATCTAAAATCCGGTTCAGCTCATAAAGGTTAGTCATTCTGAAGACCTACCTACAAACATTACTCACCACTTTGCTGACTTTCACAAATGTTTCAAAAAACATCTCAAGTTGTTTCTCATCTGGAGACGTCAGTATGCTGGTCAACACCTCCTGTACCACGGTGACATTGTCTAGAGCATCGGTGGATGGATCCAACAGTAGCTCTGCTTTCTGATCGGGTGCTAGGGATCCCAGAGCTGCCAACTAAGATGAACAAAGCAAAAACACAACACCAGAGGACATTATGCAAGACCGCCAGTGCTTTGGTGCCTGACCTAAACCAAGCAAACAAACAACAACAACAAAACTGTAGAAAGGAAAGATAAGAAAAAGATGGTACGTTACCATGCTAATGTTCAGGGACTTGAGGTCTGAGTAACTGGCTAAAGAGGAGAATCGACCCAAGTTGGTGTCGAGCCATTCAGCAGCGCTTTCAGTTTTCTGTCTGCAACCTGATTTTTTAAAGACAAGGATGGAGGAAGGTCAGCCTGCATCATGCACACAACAGGGGACACAACACACACCCTGGCCTGTTGTCTAAGAAAAAATATTTATATTGCAACCCATTCCCTTCCAGCAACAAGGAGATGCTGGAAAAAGGTGTTCTGGAAGGTTTACCTGGCATGCTGAATTTGGCAGCAGTTGTCTTTAGGTGCTCGACCAGAACATTGGTTATCTCCTGCCTCCTGGTAAATGTCATTCTCTGGAAATTGATTCCCAATCCCTTAACTCTGCAACACAAAGCCAAAGAGGGGTCATGAGGTGGAGATCCTGGTGCAGGCTGAAAAACATTCTCACTCTGAAGTTAGAAACTCACATCACACGGTAGTCGGTGCAGTTGACTGAAGCTGTGACCTTAACCAGCATTTCTGTGGTGAAACTGGGGAGGATGGGAACGAGATTCACGGTGAACCACACCACCCAATCGTGAGTCTCAAATTTCCGGAAATAGCCTTCAATGATTGCGAAGGTGCGGTTCATCATCACGTCACTCACAGCAGGGCTGATGACAGGAATCTGTAGAGACACAACAACAGGAGTGTGAGTGGCACCGCAAGAAAGCCTCCTATTCTACACCTTTCTCTGGGGCATCCACACGGTCTATGCCACACATTTCAGCAGATTGACTTGCCTCTGGAGCTGCATTTAGTTCTGTCAGAAATTCCTTCATGTTCAGGAAAGCGTCGCCTTTCTCCAGCCGGTCAAACACAACCACGATCTGATCAGTGTTGTTTAGCGCTCCAGAGCTCAGGGTGATTTCAGCTACTTGAGTAGGGTTCAGCAGTGACAGCGATCCCAACTGAAGGACAAGATAGAGAGCAGAAGTTAGCGCAGGTGAAGCCCTTCACTTGAAAAAGACAGAAGATTCATCATGACAGATCACATGGACAACTGGAGAAAGGCATCAGGTACGCACACTGGAGAAATTGACATTCAGGGCTTCTAAAAACTCCACAGTAGCATAGCCAGAGAACAGGCCAAAGTTCTTCTCAAGCCATTCAGCGCTGCTCGTCATTTTGGAAAGACAGGCAGCATCTGCAGTGAACCAAGAGCATTGGAAAATTCAACAGAAACAGTGCAATTGTAAGCAAGCTGCAAAATTTGCCACAACCTCAGACGTTAAAAGATACCCTGGCAACTACAACAAGATGGGTGATGAAGCTTGACAGTGACAGGGCTTACCTGTTCGGTCAGCTCTTGAGAGGAAGGGTTTGATGAAAGCATTGAAGACGTCCTGTTTTGTCTCCATTGCCATGAGCGATGATTGACGGCTGAGACCCAGCACCCTAAATAGGCAAAGAATGGTGGCCATTATGGATTGCCAGACTTCTCTCTCCTAAGCACCACTTCAGCACTTCCACAGCATTGAGGTTACTTACGCTGCTTGGTAGGAGTCACAGCTGAAGTTCTTGGTACTCAAGCAGGATAGAAACTCCACAGAGACAGATGGCAAAAACGGTCTCAGACGCTCCTGGAACCAGGCTGTAATGAAGCTGGCATTTGTCAGCTGTGAAGCGCTAAAGTTGCTGATTGTCAGCTGTCCAATGGCATCCAGAATGTTGGATACAGCATGACCGTTGCTTAGGTTCTGGGAAAGCAAAGGGCACATATGTCACACACGTGTCAAAACAGAGCCCTGTGGCAGTGTTTCACTTGTGTACTGGAAAATGCAGGGCTGCTACTGACCTGACTGGAGTACACGGACAGCGCATTCTCCAGAACCCCAGTGACTTTCTGGAAGAAAAGCTTCCACATCTCTGTGCTGTTGCTCATGACCGTTGATGCCTTGCAGGTCAGCAGCGTGACGAGGTCATCAGAGGACAGAGAGGACGCAACCTTGGGGGGGAAGCGGACAGATTTGTGTTGTTAGAGAAAAAGGTCTCTTTACAATTAACAGTCATACTGCTGCACGGTTCAGGAAAGGCTTACTGAAGAGCAGGCATATTCAGGAATGCTGAAGTTGCAGAGTTGAGCCGCGACGCTGCCTGATGTCTGAAGTTGTTCACTGCAAGGCACAAAAGCATGTTGTCCATTTACACCTCTGTTTTAAATCTTACCTCATTTCTCAGTAGACACCACAATGAAACTCACCTGTCTACACCTGCACAAAGCCTTTCCTCTGCAAAAAAGGCCAGAAAAGTTATCAGTGGCAGATCTTTATAGCCATCTCACAATATTATTAAAACTGAAAACATTTAGCAATCTTTGTTCCGACTCACCATCGATCAATGTTTCCTCGCACTGGTGAGAGGTGAGACAAAGCAAAAATTAGAGAAAAGAATTAGGAAGAGCTTATCTTGGGCATAATGCCACCAGATGAAGTACTTACAACAGCGGTGGGGGACACGGTCGGTGGTGCAGTGGGTGGTACTGGGGACGGTGTGGTGGATGGCATGGTGGGGGGCACTGTGGGGGGTGTGGTGGGTGGTGGAGTCGTGCAGGCTAAAGAGAGAAGCCAAGACAAGAGATATTGGTCGATGGGAGGCAACTCTCATGACGCTGACATATTCAAATACATGTGGTCACAATTTGTTGGCTTTTCTCACCGCCCAGGCACTGCCTAAGCATTCCAGCAGCTTTACTGATGCCATACCTTTTGGTGGTGAATGTTGAAGTGTGTCTACACTTGAATTTAGCTCTACTCCAACTCCTGACGGAAGATCTGCCAAAGCTATCTTCATGCCTTCCAGTCTGTCAAAACAAACAACATTGCTCAATCTCCACTTTTATTTCTACAGAACGATTGAGAAATTAAAGCCAAGGGGGCTGGTTTGCTCACATTGCTTGGTAAGATTCGCATGTGATGTTGGCAGGGATGACTTCCAGCACTGTAGGACTGAAGCTGGCCAGCAGGACCACCAGATTGGTTTGGAACCACAGCTCATAGTCGCTTGTTTCAAATAGGGGAAGTTTGGGAGCCAGGGCAGTCATGGTCAGATTCAGCATTGTGTCTCGGACAGCCACGTTTTCGATGTAGGTTATACTTTCCTGAAGGGGTGGAGGAAGGAGGGGTTGCTGTTGGCTTGTTTAAATATCTAAAATCCGGTTCAGCTCATAAAGGTTAGTCACTCTGAAGACCTACCTACAAACATTACTCACCACTTTGCTGACTTTCACAAATGTTTCAAAAAACATCTCAAGTTGTTTCTCATCTGGAGACGTCAGTATGCTGGTCAACACCTCCTGTACCACGGTGACATTGTCTAGAGCATCGGTGGATGGATCCAACAGTAGCTCTGCTTTCTGATCGGGTGCTAGGGATCCCAGAGCTGCCAACTAAGATGAACAAAGCAAAAACACAACACCAGAGGACATTATGCAAGACCGCCAGTGCTTTGGTGCCTGACCTAAACCAAGCAAACAAACAACAACAACAAAACTGTAGAAAGGAAAGATAAGAAAAAGATGGTACGTTACCATGCTAATGTTCAGGGACTTGAGGTCTGAGTAACTGGCTAAAGAGGAGAATCGACCCAAGTTGGTGTCGAGCCATTCAGCAGCGCTTTCAGTTTTCTGTCTGCAACCTGATTTTTTAAAGACAAGGATGGAGGAAGGTCAGCCTGCATCATGCACACAACAGGGGACACAACACACACCCTGGCCTGTTGTCTAAGAAAAAATATTTATATTGCAACCCATTCCCTTCCAGCAACAAGGAGATGCTGGAAAAAGGTGTTCTGGAAGGTTTACCTGGCATGCTGAATTTGGCAGCAGTTGTCTTTAGGTGCTCGACCAGAACATTGGTTATCTCCTGCCTCCTGGTAAATGTCATTCTCTGGAAATTGATTCCCAATCCCTTAACTCTGCAACACAAAGCCAAAGAGGGGTCATGAGGTGGAGATCCTGGTGCAGGCTGAAAAACATTCTCACTCTGAAGTTAGAAACTCACATCACACGGTAGTCGGTGCAGTTGACTGAAGCTGTGACCTTAACCAGCATTTCTGTGGTGAAACTGGGGAGGATGGGAACGAGATTCACGGTGAACCACACCACCCAATCGTGAGTCTCAAATTTCCGGAAATAGCCTTCAATGATTGCGAAGGTGCGGTTCATCATCACGTCACTCACAGCAGAGCTGATGACAGGAATCTGTAGAGACACAACAACAGGAGTGTGAGTGGCACCGCAAGAAAGCCTCCTATTCTACACCTTTCTCTGGGGCATCCACACGGTCTATGCCACACATTTCAGCAGATTGACTTGCCTCTGGAGCTGCATTTAGTTCTGTCAGAAATTCCTTCATGTTCAGGAAAGCGTCGCCTTTCTCCAGCCGGTCAAACACAACCACGATCTGATCAGTGTTGTTTAGCGCTCCAGAGCTCAGGGTGATTTCAGCTACTTGAGTAGGGTTCAGCAGTGACAGCGATCCCAACTGAAGGACAAGATAGAGAGCAGAAGTAAGCGCAGGTGAAGCCCTTCACTTGAAAAAGACAGAAGATTCATCATGACAGATCACATGGACAACTGGAGAAAGGCATCAGGTACGCACACTGGAGAAATTGACATTCAGGGCTTCTAAAAACTCCACAGTAGCATAGCCAGAGAACAGGCCAAAGTTCTTCTCAAGCCATTCAGCGCTGCTCGTCATTTTGGAAAGACAGGCAGCATCTGCAGTGAACCAAGAGCATTGGAAAATTCAACAGAAACAGTGCAATTGTAAGCAAGCTGCAAAATTTGCCACAACCTCAGACGTTAAAAGATACCCTGGCAACTACAACAAGATGGGTGATGAAGCTTGACAGTGACAGGGCTTACCTGTTCGGTCAGCTCTTGAGAGGAAGGGTTTGATGAAAGCATTGAAGACGTCCTGTTTTGTCTCCATTGCCATGAGCGATGATTGACGGCTGAGACCCAGCACCCTAAATAGGCAAAGAATGGTGGCCATTATGGATTGCCAGACTTCTCTCTCCTAAGCACCACTTCAGCACTTCCACAGCATTGAGGTTACTTACGCTGCTTGGTAGGAGTCACAGCTGAAGTTCTTGGTACTCAAGCAGGATAGAAACTCCACAGAGACAGATGGCAAAAACGGTCTCAGACGCTCCTGGAACCAGGCTGTAATGAAGCTGGCATTTGTCAGCTGTGAAGCGCTAAAGTTGCTGATTGTCAGCTGTCCAATGGCATCCAGAATGTTGGATGCAGCATGACCGTTGCTTAGGTTCTGGAAAAGCAAAGGGCACATATGTCACACACGTGTCAAAACAGAGCCCTGTGGCAGTGTTTCACTTGTGTACTGGAAAATGCAGGGCTGCTACTGACCTGACTGGAGTACACGGACAGCGCATTCTCCAGAACCCCAGTGACTTTCTGGAAGAAAAGCTTCCACATCTCTGTGCTGTTGCTCATGACCGTTGATGCCTTGCAGGTCAGCAGCGTGACGAGGTCATCAGAGGACAGAGAGGACGCAACCTTGGGGGGGGAAGCGGACAGATTTGTGCTGTTAGAGAAAAAGGTCTCTTTACAATTAACAGTCATACTGCTGCACGCTTCAGGAAAGGCTTACTGAAGAGCAGGCATATTCAGGAATGCTGAAGTTGCAGAGTTGAGCCGCGACGCTGCCTGATGTCTGAAGTTGTTCACTGCAAGGCACAAAAGCATGTTGTCCATTTACACCTCTGTTTTAAATCTTACCTCATTTCTCAGTAGACACCACAGTGAAACTCACCTGTCTACACCTGCACAAAGCCTTTCCTCTGCAAAAAAGGCCAGAAAAGTTATCAGTGGCAGATCTTTATAGCCATCTCACAATATTATTAAAACTGAAAACATTTAGCAATCTTTGTTCCGACTCACCATCGATCAATGTTTCCTCGCACTGGTGAGAGGTGAGACAAAGCAAAAATTAGAGAAAAGAATTAGGAAGAGCTTATCTTGGGCATAATGCCACCAGATGAAGTACTTACAACAGCGGTGGGGGACACGGTCGGTGGTGCAGTGGGTGGTACTGGGGACGGTGTGGTGGATGGCATGGTGGGGGGCACTGTGGGGGGTGTGGTGGGTGGTGGAGTCGTGCAGGCTAAAGAGAGAAGCCAAGACAAGAGATATTGGTCGATGGGAGGCAACTCTCATGACGCTGACATATTCAAATACATGTGGTCACAATTTGTTGGCTTTTCTCACCGCCCAGGCACTGCCTAAGCATTCCAGCAGCTTTACTGATGCCATACCTTTTGGTGGTGAATGTTGAAGTGTGTCTACACTTGAATTTAGCTCTACTCCAACTCCTGACGGAAGATCTGCCAAAGCTATCTTCATGCCTTCCAGTCTGTCAAAACAAACAACATTGCTCAATCTCCACTTTTATTTCTACAGAACGATTGAGAAATTAAAGCCAAGGGGGCTGGTTTGCTCACATTGCTTGGTAAGATTCGCATGTGATGTTGGCAGGGATGACTTCCAGCACTGTAGGACTGAAGCTGGCCAGCAGGACCACCAGATTGGTTTGGAACCACAGCTCATAGTCGCTTGTTTCAAATAGGGGAAGTTTGGGAGCCAGGGCAGTCATGGTCAGATTCAGCATTGTGTCTCGGACAGCCACATTTTCGATGTAGGTTATACTTTCCTGAAGGGGTGGAGGAAGGAGGGGTTGCTGTTGGCTTGTTTAAATATCTAAAATCCGGTTCAGCTCATAAAGGTTAGTCATTCTGAAGACCTACCTACAAACATTACTCACCACTTTGCTGACTTTCACAAATGTTTCAAAAAACATCTCAAGTTGTTTCTCATCTGGAGACGTCAGTATGCTGGTCAACACCTCCTGTACCACGGTGACATTGTCTAGAGCATCGGTGGATGGATCCAACAGTAGCTCTGCTTTCTGATCGGGTGCTAGGGATCCCAGAGCTGCCAACTAAGATGAACAAAGCAAAAACACAACACCAGAGGACATTATGCAAGACCGCCAGTGCTTTGGTGCCTGACCTAAACCAAGCAAACAAACAACAACAACAAAACTGTAGAAAGGAAAGATAAGAAAAAGATGGTACGTTACCATGCTAATGTTCAGGGACTTGAGGTCTGAGTAACTGGCTGAAGAGGAGAATCGACCCAAGTTGGTGTCGAGCCATTCAGCAGCGCTTTCAGTTTTCTGTCTGCAACCTGATTTTTTAAAGACAAGGATGGAGGAAGGTCAGCCTGCATCATGCACACAACAGGGGACACAACACACACCCTGGCCTGTTGTCTAAGAAAAAATATTTATATTGCAACCCATTCCCTTCCAGCAACAAGGAGATGCTGGAAAAAGGTGTTCTGGAAGGTTTACCTGGCATGCTGAATTTGGCAGCAGTTGTCTTTAGGTGCTCGACCAGAACATTGGTTATCTCCTGCCTCCTGGTAAATGTCATTCTCTGGAAATTGATTCCCAATCCCTTAACTCTGCAACACAAAGCCAAAGAGGGGTCATGAGGTGGAGATCCTGGTGCAGGCTGAAAAACATTCTCACTCTGAAGTTAGAAACTCACATCACACGGTAGTCGGTGCAGTTGACTGAAGCTGTGACCTTAACCAGCATTTCTGTGGTGAAACTGGGGAGGATGGGAACGAGATTCACGGTGAACCACACCACCCAATCGTGAGTCTCAAATTTCCGGAAATAGCCTTCAATGATTGCGAAGGTGCGGTTCATCATCACGTCACTCACAGCAGGGCTGATGACAGGAATCTGTAGAGACACAACAACAGGAGTGTGAGTGGCACCGCAAGAAAGCCTCCTATTCTACACCTTTCTCTGGGGCATCCACACGGTCTATGCCACACATTTCAGCAGATTGACTTGCCTCTGGAGCTGCATTTAGTTCTGTCAGAAATTCCTTCATGTTCAGGAAAGCGTCGCCTTTCTCCAGCCGGTCAAACACAACCACGATCTGATCAGTGTTGTTTAGCGCTCCAGAGCTCAGGGTGATTTCAGCTACTTGAGTAGGGTTCAGCAGTGACAGCGATCCCAACTGAAGGACAAGATAGAGAGCAGAAGTTAGCGCAGGTGAAGCCCTTCACTTGAAAAAGAGAGAAGATTCATCATGACAGATCACATGGACAACTGGAGAAAGGCATCAGGTACGCACACTGGAGAAATTGACATTCAGGGCTTCTAAAAACTCCACAGTAGCATAGCCAGAGAACAGGCCAAAGTTCTTCTCAAGCCATTCAGCGCTGCTCGTCATTTTGGAAAGACAGGCAGCATCTGCAGTGAACCAAGAGCATTGGAAAATTCAACAGAAACAGTGCAATTGTAAGCAAGCTGCAAAATTTGCCACAACCTCAGACGTTAAAAGATACCCTGGCAACTACAACAAGATGGGTGATGAAGCTTGACAGTGACAGGGCTTACCTGTTCGGTCAGCTCTTGAGAGGAAGGGTTTGATGAAAGCATTGAAGACGTCCTGTTTTGTCTCCATTGCCATGAGCGATGATTGACGGCTGAGACCCAGCACCCTAAATAGGCAAAGAATGGTGGCCATTATGGATTGCCAGACTTCTCTCTCCTAAGCACCACTTCAGCACTTCCACAGCATTGAGGTTACTTACGCTGCTTGGTAGGAGTCACAGCTGAAGTTCTTGGTACTCAAGCAGGATAGAAACTCCACAGAGACAGATGGCAAAAACGGTCTCAGACGCTCCTGGAACCAGGCTGTAATGAAGCTGGCATTTGTCAGCTGTGAAGCGCTAAAGTTGCTGATTGTCAGCTGTCCAATGGCATCCAGAATGTTGGATGCAGCATGACCGTTGCTTAGGTTCTGGGAAAGCAAAGGGCACATATGTCACACACGTGTCAAAACAGAGCCCTCTGGCAGTGTTTCACTTGTGTACTGGAAAATGCAGGGCTGCTACTGACCTGACTGGAGTACACGGACAGCGCATTCTCCAGAACCCCAGTGACTTTCTGGAAGAAAAGCTTCCACATCTCTGTGCTGTTGCTCATGACCGTTGATGCCTTGCAGGTCAGCAGCGTGACGAGGTCATCAGAGGACAGAGAGGACGCAACCTTGGGGGGGGAAGCGGACAGATTTGTGCTGTTAGAGAAAAAGGTCTCTTTACAATTAACAGTCATACTGCTGCACGCTTCAGGAAAGGCTTACTGAAGAGCAGGCATATTCAGGAATGCTGAAGTTGCAGAGTTGAGCCGCGACGCTGCCTGATGTCTGAAGTTGTTCACTGCAAGGCACAAAAGCATGTTGTCCAGTTACACCTCTGTTTTAAATCTTACCTCATTTCTCAGTAGACACCACAGTGAAACTCACCTGTCTACACCTGCACAAAGCCTTTCCTCTGCAAAAAAGGCCAGAAAAGTTATCAGTGGCAGATCTTTATAGCCATCTCACAATATTATTAAAACTGAAAACATTTAGCAATCTTTGTTCCGACTCACCATCGATCAATGTTTCCTCGCACTGGTGAGAGGTGAGACAAAGCAAAAATTAGAGAAAAGAATTAGGAAGAGCTTATCTTGGGCATAATGCCACCAGATGAAGTACTTACAACAGCGGTGGGGGACACGGTCGGTGGTGCAGTGGGTGGTACTGGGGACGGTGTGGTGGATGGCATGGTGGGGGGCACTGTGGGGGGTGTGGTGGGTGGTGGAGTCGTGCAGGCTAAAGAGAGAAGCCAAGACAAGAGATATTGGTCGATGGGAGGCAACTCTCATGACGCTGACATATTCAAATACATGTGGTCACAATTTGTTGGCTTTTCTCACCGCCCAGGCACTGCCTAAGCATTCCAGCAGCTTTACTGATGCCATACCTTTTGGTGGTGAATGTTGAAGTGTGTCTACACTTGAATTTAGCTCTACTCCAACTCCTGACGGAAGATCTGCCAAAGCTATCTTCATGCCTTCCAGTCTGTCAAAACAAACAACATTGCTCAATCTCCACTTTTATTTCTACAGAACGATTGAGAAATTAAAGCCAAGGGGGCTGGTTTGCTCACATTGCTTGGTAAGATTCGCATGTGATGTTGGCAGGGATGACTTCCAGCACTGTAGGACTGAAGCTGGCCAGCAGGACCACCAGATTGGTTTGGAACCACAGCTCATAGTCGCTTGTTTCAAATAGGGGAAGTTTGGGAGCCAGGGCAGTCATGGTCAGATTCAGCATTGTGTCTCGGACAGCCACATTTTCGATGTAGGTTATACTTTCCTGAAGGGGTGGAGGAAGGAGGGGTTGCTGTTGGCTTGTTTAAATATCTAAAATCCGGTTCAGCTCATAAAGGTTAGTCATTCTGAAGACCTACCTACAAACATTACTCACCACTTTGCTGACTTTCACAAATGTTTCAAAAAACATCTCAAGTTGTTTCTCATCTGGAGACGTCAGTATGCTGGTCAACACCTCCTGTACCACGGTGACATTGTCTAGAGCATCGGTGGATGGATCCAACAGTAGCTCTGCTTTCTGATCGGGTGCTAGGGATCCCAGAGCTGCCAACTAAGATGAACAAAGCAAAAACACAACACCAGAGGACATTATGCAAGACCGCCAGTGCTTTGGTGCCTGACCTAAACCAAGCAAACAAACAACAACAACAAAACTGTAGAAAGGAAAGATAAGAAAAAGATGGTACGTTACCATGCTAATGTTCAGGGACTTGAGGTCTGAGTAACTGGCTGAAGAGGAGAATCGACCCAAGTTGGTGTCGAGCCATTCAGCAGCGCTTTCAGTTTTCTGTCTGCAACCTGATTTTTTAAAGACAAGGATGGAGGAAGGTCAGCCTGCATCATGCACACAACAGGGGACACAACACACACCCTGGCCTGTTGTCTAAGAAAAAATATTTATATTGCAACCCATTCCCTTCCAGCAACAAGGAGATGCTGGAAAAAGGTGTTCTGGAAGGTTTACCTGGCATGCTGAATTTGGCAGCAGTTGTCTTTAGGTGCTCGACCAGAACATTGGTTATCTCCTGCCTCCTGGTAAATGTCATTCTCTGGAAATTGATTCCCAATCCCTTAACTCTGCAACACAAAGCCAAAGAGGGGTCATGAGGTGGAGATCCTGGTGCAGGCTGAAAAACATTCTCACTCTGAAGTTAGAAACTCACATCACACGGTAGTCGGTGCAGTTGACTGAAGCTGTGACCTTAACCAGCATTTCTGTGGTGAAACTGGGGAGGATGGGAACGAGATTCACGGTGAACCACACCACCCAATCGTGAGTCTCAAATTTCCGGAAATAGCCTTCAATGATTGCGAAGGTGCGGTTCATCATCACGTCACTCACAGCAGGGCTGATGACAGGAATCTGTAGAGACACAACAACAGGAGTGTGAGTGGCACCGCAAGAAAGCCTCCTATTCTACACCTTTCTCTGGGGCATCCACACGGTCTATGCCACACATTTCAGCAGATTGACTTGCCTCTGGAGCTGCATTTAGTTCTGTCAGAAATTCCTTCATGTTCAGGAAAGCGTCGCCTTTCTCCAGCCGGTCAAACACAACCACGATCTGATCAGTGTTGTTTAGCGCTCCAGAGCTCAGGGTGATTTCAGCTACTTGAGTAGGGTTCAGCAGTGACAGCGATCCCAACTGAAGGACAAGATAGAGAGCAGAAGTTAGCGCAGGTGAAGCCCTTCACTTGAAAAAGAGAGAAGATTCATCATGACAGATCACATGGACAACTGGAGAAAGGCATCAGGTACGCACACTGGAGAAATTGACATTCAGGGCTTCTAAAAACTCCACAGTAGCATAGCCAGAGAACAGGCCAAAGTTCTTCTCAAGCCATTCAGCGCTGCTCGTCATTTTGGAAAGACAGGCAGCATCTGCAGTGAACCAAGAGCATTGGAAAATTCAACAGAAACAGTGCAATTGTAAGCAAGCTGCAAAATTTGCCACAACCTCAGACGTTAAAAGATACCCTGGCAACTACAACAAGATGGGTGATGAAGCTTGACAGTGACAGGGCTTACCTGTTCGGTCAGCTCTTGAGAGGAAGGGTTTGATGAAAGCATTGAAGACGTCCTGTTTTGTCTCCATTGCCATGAGCGATGATTGACGGCTGAGACCCAGCACCCTAAATAGGCAAAGAATGGTGGCCATTATGGATTGCCAGACTTCTCTCTCCTAAGCACCACTTCAGCACTTCCACAGCATTGAGGTTACTTACGCTGCTTGGTAGGAGTCACAGCTGAAGTTCTTGGTACTCAAGCAGGATAGAAACTCCACAGAGACAGATGGCAAAAACGGTCTCAGACGCTCCTGGAACCAGGCTGTAATGAAGCTGGCATTTGTCAGCTGTGAAGCGCTAAAGTTGCTGATTGTCAGCTGTCCAATGGCATCCAGAATGTTGGATGCAGCATGACCGTTGCTTAGGTTCTGGGAAAGCAAAGGGCACATATGTCACACACGTGTCAAAACAGAGCCCTCTGGCAGTGTTTCACTTGTGTACTGGAAAATGCAGGGCTGCTACTGACCTGACTGGAGTACACGGACAGCGCATTCTCCAGAACCCCAGTGACTTTCTGGAAGAAAAGCTTCCACATCTCTGTGCTGTTGCTCATGACCGTTGATGCCTTGCAGGTCAGCAGCGTGACGAGGTCATCAGAGGACAGAGAGGACGCAACCTTGGGGGGGGAAGCGGACAGATTTGTGCTGTTAGAGAAAAAGGTCTCTTTACAATTAACAGTCATACTGCTGCACGCTTCAGGAAAGGCTTACTGAAGAGCAGGCATATTCAGGAATGCTGAAGTTGCAGAGTTGAGCCGCGACGCTGCCTGATGTCTGAAGTTGTTCACTGCAAGGCACAAAAGCATGTTGTCCAGTTACACCTCTGTTTTAAATCTTACCTCATTTCTCAGTAGACACCACAGTGAAACTCACCTGTCTACACCTGCACAAAGCCTTTCCTCTGCAAAAAAGGCCAGAAAAGTTATCAGTGGCAGATCTTTATAGCCATCTCACAATATTATTAAAACTGAAAACATTTAGCAATCTTTGTTCCGACTCACCATCGATCAATGTTTCCTCGCACTGGTGAGAGGTGAGACAAAGCAAAAATTAGAGAAAAGAATTAGGAAGAGCTTATCTTGGGCATAATGCCACCAGATGAAGTACTTACAACAGCGGTGGGGGACACGGTCGGTGGTGCAGTGGGTGGTACTGGGGACGGTGTGGTGGATGGCATGGTGGGGGGCACTGTGGGGGGTGTGGTGGGTGGTGGAGTCGTGCAGGCTAAAGAGAGAAGCCAAGACAAGAGATATTGGTCGATGGGAGGCAACTCTCATGACGCTGACATATTCAAATACATGTGGTCACAATTTGTTGGCTTTTCTCACCGCCCAGGCACTGCCTAAGCATTCCAGCAGCTTTACTGATGCCATACCTTTTGGTGGTGAATGTTGAAGTGTGTCTACACTTGAATTTAGCTCTACTCCAACTCCTGACGGAAGATCTGCCAAAGCTATCTTCATGCCTTCCAGTCTGTCAAAACAAACAACATTGCTCAATCTCCACTTTTATTTCTACAGAACGATTGAGAAATTAAAGCCAAGGGGGCTGGTTTGCTCACATTGCTTGGTAAGATTCGCATGTGATGTTGGCAGGGATGACTTCCAGCACTGTAGGACTGAAGCTGGCCAGCAGGACCACCAGATTGGTTTGGAACCACAGCTCATAGTCGCTTGTTTCAAATAGGGGAAGTTTGGGAGCCAGGGCAGTCATGGTCAGATTCAGCATTGTGTCTCGGACAGCCACATTTTCGATGTAGGTTATACTTTCCTGAAGGGGTGGAGGAAGGAGGGGTTGCTGTTGGCTTGTTTAAATATCTAAAATCCGGTTCAGCTCATAAAGGTTAGTCATTCTGAAGACCTACCTACAAACATTACTCACCACTTTGCTGACTTTCACAAATGTTTCAAAAAACATCTCAAGTTGTTTCTCATCTGGAGACGTCAGTATGCTGGTCAACACCTCCTGTACCACGGTGACATTGTCTAGAGCATCGGTGGATGGATCCAACAGTAGCTCTGCTTTCTGATCGGGTGCTAGGGATCCCAGAGCTGCCAACTAAGATGAACAAAGCAAAAACACAACACCAGAGGACATTATGCAAGACCGCCAGTGCTTTGGTGCCTGACCTAAACCAAGCAAACAAACAACAACAACAAAACTGTAGAAAGGAAAGATAAGAAAAAGATGGTACGTTACCATGCTAATGTTCAGGGACTTGAGGTCTGAGTAACTGGCTGAAGAGGAGAATCGACCCAAGTTGGTGTCGAGCCATTCAGCAGCGCTTTCAGTTTTCTGTCTGCAACCTGATTTTTTAAAGACAAGGATGGAGGAAGGTCAGCCTGCATCATGCACACAACAGGGGACACAACACACACCCTGGCCTGTTGTCTAAGAAAAAATATTTATATTGCAACCCATTCCCTTCCAGCAACAAGGAGATGCTGGAAAAAGGTGTTCTGGAAGGTTTACCTGGCATGCTGAATTTGGCAGCAGTTGTCTTTAGGTGCTCGACCAGAACATTGGTTATCTCCTGCCTCCTGGTAAATGTCATTCTCTGGAAATTGATTCCCAATCCCTTAACTCTGCAACACAAAGCCAAAGAGGGGTCATGAGGTGGAGATCCTGGTGCAGGCTGAAAAACATTCTCACTCTGAAGTTAGAAACTCACATCACACGGTAGTCGGTGCAGTTGACTGAAGCTGTGACCTTAACCAGCATTTCTGTGGTGAAACTGGGGAGGATGGGAACGAGATTCACGGTGAACCACACCACCCAATCGTGAGTCTCAAATTTCCGGAAATAGCCTTCAATGATTGCGAAGGTGCGGTTCATCATCACGTCACTCACAGCAGGGCTGATGACAGGAATCTGTAGAGACACAACAACAGGAGTGTGAGTGGCACCGCAAGAAAGCCTCCTATTCTACACCTTTCTCTGGGGCATCCACACGGTCTATGCCACACATTTCAGCAGATTGACTTGCCTCTGGAGCTGCATTTAGTTCTGTCAGAAATTCCTTCATGTTCAGGAAAGCGTCGCCTTTCTCCAGCCGGTCAAACACAACCACGATCTGATCAGTGTTGTTTAGCGCTCCAGAGCTCAGGGTGATTTCAGCTACTTGAGTAGGGTTCAGCAGTGACAGCGATCCCAACTGAAGGACAAGATAGAGAGCAGAAGTTAGCGCAGGTGAAGCCCTTCACTTGAAAAAGAGAGAAGATTCATCATGACAGATCACATGGACAACTGGAGAAAGGCATCAGGTACGCACACTGGAGAAATTGACATTCAGGGCTTCTAAAAACTCCACAGTAGCATAGCCAGAGAACAGGCCAAAGTTCTTCTCAAGCCATTCAGCGCTGCTCGTCATTTTGGAAAGACAGGCAGCATCTGCAGTGAACCAAGAGCATTGGAAAATTCAACAGAAACAGTGCAATTGTAAGCAAGCTGCAAAATTTGCCACAACCTCAGACGTTAAAAGATACCCTGGCAACTACAACAAGATGGGTGATGAAGCTTGACAGTGACAGGGCTTACCTGTTCGGTCAGCTCTTGAGAGGAAGGGTTTGATGAAAGCATTGAAGACGTCCTGTTTTGTCTCCATTGCCATGAGCGATGATTGACGGCTGAGACCCAGCACCCTAAATAGGCAAAGAATGGTGGCCATTATGGATTGCCAGACTTCTCTCTCCTAAGCACCACTTCAGCACTTCCACAGCATTGAGGTTACTTACGCTGCTTGGTAGGAGTCACAGCTGAAGTTCTTGGTACTCAAGCAGGATAGAAACTCCACAGAGACAGATGGCAAAAACGGTCTCAGACGCTCCTGGAACCAGGCTGTAATGAAGCTGGCATTTGTCAGCTGTGAAGCGCTAAAGTTGCTGATTGTCAGCTGTCCAATGGCATCCAGAATGTTGGATGCAGCATGACCGTTGCTTAGGTTCTGGGAAAGCAAAGGGCACATATGTCACACACGTGTCAAAACAGAGCCCTCTGGCAGTGTTTCACTTGTGTACTGGAAAATGCAGGGCTGCTACTGACCTGACTGGAGTACACGGACAGCGCATTCTCCAGAACCCCAGTGACTTTCTGGAAGAAAAGCTTCCACATCTCTGTGCTGTTGCTCATGACCGTTGATGCCTTGCAGGTCAGCAGCGTGACGAGGTCATCAGAGGACAGAGAGGACGCAACCTTGGGGGGGGAAGCGGACAGATTTGTGCTGTTAGAGAAAAAGGTCTCTTTACAATTAACAGTCATACTGCTGCACGCTTCAGGAAAGGCTTACTGAAGAGCAGGCATATTCAGGAATGCTGAAGTTGCAGAGTTGAGCCGCGACGCTGCCTGATGTCTGAAGTTGTTCACTGCAAGGCACAAAAGCATGTTGTCCAGTTACACCTCTGTTTTAAATCTTACCTCATTTCTCAGTAGACACCACAGTGAAACTCACCTGTCTACACCTGCACAAAGCCTTTCCTCTGCAAAAAAGGCCAGAAAAGTTATCAGTGGCAGATCTTTATAGCCATCTCACAATATTATTAAAACTGAAAACATTTAGCAATCTTTGTTCCGACTCACCATCGATCAATGTTTCCTCGCACTGGTGAGAGGTGAGACAAAGCAAAAATTAGAGAAAAGAATTAGGAAGAGCTTATCTTGGGCATAATGCCACCAGATGAAGTACTTACAACAGCGGTGGGGGACACGGTCGGTGGTGCAGTGGGTGGTACTGGGGACGGTGTGGTGGATGGCATGGTGGGGGGCACTGTGGGGGGTGTGGTGGGTGGTGGAGTCGTGCAGGCTAAAGAGAGAAGCCAAGACAAGAGATATTGGTCGATGGGAGGCAACTCTCATGACGCTGACATATTCAAATACATGTGGTCACAATTTGTTGGCTTTTCTCACCGCCCAGGCACTGCCTAAGCATTCCAGCAGCTTTACTGATGCCATACCTTTTGGTGGTGAATGTTGAAGTGTGTCTACACTTGAATTTAGCTCTACTCCAACTCCTGACGGAAGATCTGCCAAAGCTATCTTCATGCCTTCCAGTCTGTCAAAACAAACAACATTGCTCAATCTCCACTTTTATTTCTACAGAACGATTGAGAAATTAAAGCCAAGGGGGCTGGTTTGCTCACATTGCTTGGTAAGATTCGCATGTGATGTTGGCAGGGATGACTTCCAGCACTGTAGGACTGAAGCTGGCCAGCAGGACCACCAGATTGGTTTGGAACCACAGCTCATAGTCGCTTGTTTCAAATAGGGGAAGTTTGGGAGCCAGGGCAGTCATGGTCAGATTCAGCATTGTGTCTCGGACAGCCACATTTTCGATGTAGGTTATACTTTCCTGAAGGGGTGGAGGAAGGAGGGGTTGCTGTTGGCTTGTTTAAATATCTAAAATCCGGTTCAGCTCATAAAGGTTAGTCATTCTGAAGACCTACCTACAAACATTACTCACCACTTTGCTGACTTTCACAAATGTTTCAAAAAACATCTCAAGTTGTTTCTCATCTGGAGACGTCAGTATGCTGGTCAACACCTCCTGTACCACGGTGACATTGTCTAGAGCATCGGTGGATGGATCCAACAGTAGCTCTGCTTTCTGATCGGGTGCTAGGGATCCCAGAGCTGCCAACTAAGATGAACAAAGCAAAAACACAACACCAGAGGACATTATGCAAGACCGCCAGTGCTTTGGTGCCTGACCTAAACCAAGCAAACAAACAACAACAACAAAACTGTAGAAAGGAAAGATAAGAAAAAGATGGTACGTTACCATGCTAATGTTCAGGGACTTGAGGTCTGAGTAACTGGCTGAAGAGGAGAATCGACCCAAGTTGGTGTCGAGCCATTCAGCAGCGCTTTCAGTTTTCTGTCTGCAACCTGATTTTTTAAAGACAAGGATGGAGGAAGGTCAGCCTGCATCATGCACACAACAGGGGACACAACACACACCCTGGCCTGTTGTCTAAGAAAAAATATTTATATTGCAACCCATTCCCTTCCAGCAACAAGGAGATGCTGGAAAAAGGTGTTCTGGAAGGTTTACCTGGCATGCTGAATTTGGCAGCAGTTGTCTTTAGGTGCTCGACCAGAACATTGGTTATCTCCTGCCTCCTGGTAAATGTCATTCTCTGGAAATTGATTCCCAATCCCTTAACTCTGCAACACAAAGCCAAAGAGGGGTCATGAGGTGGAGATCCTGGTGCAGGCTGAAAAACATTCTCACTCTGAAGTTAGAAACTCACATCACACGGTAGTCGGTGCAGTTGACTGAAGCTGTGACCTTAACCAGCATTTCTGTGGTGAAACTGGGGAGGATGGGAACGAGATTCACGGTGAACCACACCACCCAATCGTGAGTCTCAAATTTCCGGAAATAGCCTTCAATGATTGCGAAGGTGCGGTTCATCATCACGTCACTCACAGCAGGGCTGATGACAGGAATCTGTAGAGACACAACAACAGGAGTGTGAGTGGCACCGCAAGAAAGCCTCCTATTCTACACCTTTCTCTGGGGCATCCACACGGTCTATGCCACACATTTCAGCAGATTGACTTGCCTCTGGAGCTGCATTTAGTTCTGTCAGAAATTCCTTCATGTTCAGGAAAGCGTCGCCTTTCTCCAGCCGGTCAAACACAACCACGATCTGATCAGTGTTGTTTAGCGCTCCAGAGCTCAGGGTGATTTCAGCTACTTGAGTAGGGTTCAGCAGTGACAGCGATCCCAACTGAAGGACAAGATAGAGAGCAGAAGTTAGCGCAGGTGAAGCCCTTCACTTGAAAAAGAGAGAAGATTCATCATGACAGATCACATGGACAACTGGAGAAAGGCATCAGGTACGCACACTGGAGAAATTGACATTCAGGGCTTCTAAAAACTCCACAGTAGCATAGCCAGAGAACAGGCCAAAGTTCTTCTCAAGCCATTCAGCGCTGCTCGTCATTTTGGAAAGACAGGCAGCATCTGCAGTGAACCAAGAGCATTGGAAAATTCAACAGAAACAGTGCAATTGTAAGCAAGCTGCAAAATTTGCCACAACCTCAGACGTTAAAAGATACCCTGGCAACTACAACAAGATGGGTGATGAAGCTTGACAGTGACAGGGCTTACCTGTTCGGTCAGCTCTTGAGAGGAAGGGTTTGATGAAAGCATTGAAGACGTCCTGTTTTGTCTCCATTGCCATGAGCGATGATTGACGGCTGAGACCCAGCACCCTAAATAGGCAAAGAATGGTGGCCATTATGGATTGCCAGACTTCTCTCTCCTAAGCACCACTTCAGCACTTCCACAGCATTGAGGTTACTTACGCTGCTTGGTAGGAGTCACAGCTGAAGTTCTTGGTACTCAAGCAGGATAGAAACTCCACAGAGACAGATGGCAAAAACGGTCTCAGACGCTCCTGGAACCAGGCTGTAATGAAGCTGGCATTTGTCAGCTGTGAAGCGCTAAAGTTGCTGATTGTCAGCTGTCCAATGGCATCCAGAATGTTGGATGCAGCATGACCGTTGCTTAGGTTCTGGGAAAGCAAAGGGCACATATGTCACACACGTGTCAAAACAGAGCCCTCTGGCAGTGTTTCACTTGTGTACTGGAAAATGCAGGGCTGCTACTGACCTGACTGGAGTACACGGACAGCGCATTCTCCAGAACCCCAGTGACTTTCTGGAAGAAAAGCTTCCACATCTCTGTGCTGTTGCTCATGACCGTTGATGCCTTGCAGGTCAGCAGCGTGACGAGGTCATCAGAGGACAGAGAGGACGCAACCTTGGGGGGGGAAGCGGACAGATTTGTGCTGTTAGAGAAAAAGGTCTCTTTACAATTAACAGTCATACTGCTGCACGCTTCAGGAAAGGCTTACTGAAGAGCAGGCATATTCAGGAATGCTGAAGTTGCAGAGTTGAGCCGCGACGCTGCCTGATGTCTGAAGTTGTTCACTGCAAGGCACAAAAGCATGTTGTCCAGTTACACCTCTGTTTTAAATCTTACCTCATTTCTCAGTAGACACCACAGTGAAACTCACCTGTCTACACCTGCACAAAGCCTTTCCTCTGCAAAAAAGGCCAGAAAAGTTATCAGTGGCAGATCTTTATAGCCATCTCACAATATTATTAAAACTGAAAACATTTAGCAATCTTTGTTCCGACTCACCATCGATCAATGTTTCCTCGCACTGGTGAGAGGTGAGACAAAGCAAAAATTAGAGAAAAGAATTAGGAAGAGCTTATCTTGGGCATAATGCCACCAGATGAAGTACTTACAACAGCGGTGGGGGACACGGTCGGTGGTGCAGTGGGTGGTACTGGGGACGGTGTGGTGGATGGCATGGTGGGGGGCACTGTGGGGGGTGTGGTGGGTGGTGGAGTCGTGCAGGCTAAAGAGAGAAGCCAAGACAAGAGATATTGGTCGATGGGAGGCAACTCTCATGACGCTGACATATTCAAATACATGTGGTCACAATTTGTTGGCTTTTCTCACCGCCCAGGCACTGCCTAAGCATTCCAGCAGCTTTACTGATGCCATACCTTTTGGTGGTGAATGTTGAAGTGTGTCTACACTTGAATTTAGCTCTACTCCAACTCCTGACGGAAGATCTGCCAAAGCTATCTTCATGCCTTCCAGTCTGTCAAAACAAACAACATTGCTCAATCTCCACTTTTATTTCTACAGAACGATTGAGAAATTAAAGCCAAGGGGGCTGGTTTGCTCACATTGCTTGGTAAGATTCGCATGTGATGTTGGCAGGGATGACTTCCAGCACTGTAGGACTGAAGCTGGCCAGCAGGACCACCAGATTGGTTTGGAACCACAGCTCATAGTCGCTTGTTTCAAATAGGGGAAGTTTGGGAGCCAGGGCAGTCATGGTCAGATTCAGCATTGTGTCTCGGACAGCCACATTTTCGATGTAGGTTATACTTTCCTGAAGGGGTGGAGGAAGGAGGGGTTGCTGTTGGCTTGTTTAAATATCTAAAATCCGGTTCAGCTCATAAAGGTTAGTCATTCTGAAGACCTACCTACAAACATTACTCACCACTTTGCTGACTTTCACAAATGTTTCAAAAAACATCTCAAGTTGTTTCTCATCTGGAGACGTCAGTATGCTGGTCAACACCTCCTGTACCACGGTGACATTGTCTAGAGCATCGGTGGATGGATCCAACAGTAGCTCTGCTTTCTGATCGGGTGCTAGGGATCCCAGAGCTGCCAACTAAGATGAACAAAGCAAAAACACAACACCAGAGGACATTATGCAAGACCGCCAGTGCTTTGGTGCCTGACCTAAACCAAGCAAACAAACAACAACAACAAAACTGTAGAAAGGAAAGATAAGAAAAAGATGGTACGTTACCATGCTAATGTTCAGGGACTTGAGGTCTGAGTAACTGGCTGAAGAGGAGAATCGACCCAAGTTGGTGTCGAGCCATTCAGCAGCGCTTTCAGTTTTCTGTCTGCAACCTGATTTTTTAAAGACAAGGATGGAGGAAGGTCAGCCTGCATCATGCACACAACAGGGGACACAACACACACCCTGGCCTGTTGTCTAAGAAAAAATATTTATATTGCAACCCATTCCCTTCCAGCAACAAGGAGATGCTGGAAAAAGGTGTTCTGGAAGGTTTACCTGGCATGCTGAATTTGGCAGCAGTTGTCTTTAGGTGCTCGACCAGAACATTGGTTATCTCCTGCCTCCTGGTAAATGTCATTCTCTGGAAATTGATTCCCAATCCCTTAACTCTGCAACACAAAGCCAAAGAGGGGTCATGAGGTGGAGATCCTGGTGCAGGCTGAAAAACATTCTCACTCTGAAGTTAGAAACTCACATCACACGGTAGTCGGTGCAGTTGACTGAAGCTGTGACCTTAACCAGCATTTCTGTGGTGAAACTGGGGAGGATGGGAACGAGATTCACGGTGAACCACACCACCCAATCGTGAGTCTCAAATTTCCGGAAATAGCCTTCAATGATTGCGAAGGTGCGGTTCATCATCACGTCACTCACAGCAGGGCTGATGACAGGAATCTGTAGAGACACAACAACAGGAGTGTGAGTGGCACCGCAAGAAAGCCTCCTATTCTACACCTTTCTCTGGGGCATCCACACGGTCTATGCCACACATTTCAGCAGATTGACTTGCCTCTGGAGCTGCATTTAGTTCTGTCAGAAATTCCTTCATGTTCAGGAAAGCGTCGCCTTTCTCCAGCCGGTCAAACACAACCACGATCTGATCAGTGTTGTTTAGCGCTCCAGAGCTCAGGGTGATTTCAGCTACTTGAGTAGGGTTCAGCAGTGACAGCGATCCCAACTGAAGGACAAGATAGAGAGCAGAAGTTAGCGCAGGTGAAGCCCTTCACTTGAAAAAGAGAGAAGATTCATCATGACAGATCACATGGACAACTGGAGAAAGGCATCAGGTACGCACACTGGAGAAATTGACATTCAGGGCTTCTAAAAACTCCACAGTAGCATAGCCAGAGAACAGGCCAAAGTTCTTCTCAAGCCATTCAGCGCTGCTCGTCATTTTGGAAAGACAGGCAGCATCTGCAGTGAACCAAGAGCATTGGAAAATTCAACAGAAACAGTGCAATTGTAAGCAAGCTGCAAAATTTGCCACAACCTCAGACGTTAAAAGATACCCTGGCAACTACAACAAGATGGGTGATGAAGCTTGACAGTGACAGGGCTTACCTGTTCGGTCAGCTCTTGAGAGGAAGGGTTTGATGAAAGCATTGAAGACGTCCTGTTTTGTCTCCATTGCCATGAGCGATGATTGACGGCTGAGACCCAGCACCCTAAATAGGCAAAGAATGGTGGCCATTATGGATTGCCAGACTTCTCTCTCCTAAGCACCACTTCAGCACTTCCACAGCATTGAGGTTACTTACGCTGCTTGGTAGGAGTCACAGCTGAAGTTCTTGGTACTCAAGCAGGATAGAAACTCCACAGAGACAGATGGCAAAAACGGTCTCAGACGCTCCTGGAACCAGGCTGTAATGAAGCTGGCATTTGTCAGCTGTGAAGCGCTAAAGTTGCTGATTGTCAGCTGTCCAATGGCATCCAGAATGTTGGATGCAGCATGACCGTTGCTTAGGTTCTGGGAAAGCAAAGGGCACATATGTCACACACGTGTCAAAACAGAGCCCTCTGGCAGTGTTTCACTTGTGTACTGGAAAATGCAGGGCTGCTACTGACCTGACTGGAGTACACGGACAGCGCATTCTCCAGAACCCCAGTGACTTTCTGGAAGAAAAGCTTCCACATCTCTGTGCTGTTGCTCATGACCGTTGATGCCTTGCAGGTCAGCAGCGTGACGAGGTCATCAGAGGACAGAGAGGACGCAACCTTGGGGGGGGAAGCGGACAGATTTGTGCTGTTAGAGAAAAAGGTCTCTTTACAATTAACAGTCATACTGCTGCACGCTTCAGGAAAGGCTTACTGAAGAGCAGGCATATTCAGGAATGCTGAAGTTGCAGAGTTGAGCCGCGACGCTGCCTGATGTCTGAAGTTGTTCACTGCAAGGCACAAAAGCATGTTGTCCAGTTACACCTCTGTTTTAAATCTTACCTCATTTCTCAGTAGACACCACAGTGAAACTCACCTGTCTACACCTGCACAAAGCCTTTCCTCTGCAAAAAAGGCCAGAAAAGTTATCAGTGGCAGATCTTTATAGCCATCTCACAATATTATTAAAACTGAAAACATTTAGCAATCTTTGTTCCGACTCACCATCGATCAATGTTTCCTCGCACTGGTGAGAGGTGAGACAAAGCAAAAATTAGAGAAAAGAATTAGGAAGAGCTTATCTTGGGCATAATGCCACCAGATGAAGTACTTACAACAGCGGTGGGGGACACGGTCGGTGGTGCAGTGGGTGGTACTGGGGACGGTGTGGTGGATGGCATGGTGGGGGGCACTGTGGGGGGTGTGGTGGGTGGTGGAGTCGTGCAGGCTAAAGAGAGAAGCCAAGACAAGAGATATTGGTCGATGGGAGGCAACTCTCATGACGCTGACATATTCAAATACATGTGGTCACAATTTGTTGGCTTTTCTCACCGCCCAGGCACTGCCTAAGCATTCCAGCAGCTTTACTGATGCCATACCTTTTGGTGGTGAATGTTGAAGTGTGTCTACACTTGAATTTAGCTCTACTCCAACTCCTGACGGAAGATCTGCCAAAGCTATCTTCATGCCTTCCAGTCTGTCAAAACAAACAACATTGCTCAATCTCCACTTTTATTTCTACAGAACGATTGAGAAATTAAAGCCAAGGGGGCTGGTTTGCTCACATTGCTTGGTAAGATTCGCATGTGATGTTGGCAGGGATGACTTCCAGCACTGTAGGACTGAAGCTGGCCAGCAGGACCACCAGATTGGTTTGGAACCACAGCTCATAGTCGCTTGTTTCAAATAGGGGAAGTTTGGGAGCCAGGGCAGTCATGGTCAGATTCAGCATTGTGTCTCGGACAGCCACATTTTCGATGTAGGTTATACTTTCCTGAAGGGGTGGAGGAAGGAGGGGTTGCTGTTGGCTTGTTTAAATATCTAAAATCCGGTTCAGCTCATAAAGGTTAGTCATTCTGAAGACCTACCTACAAACATTACTCACCACTTTGCTGACTTTCACAAATGTTTCAAAAAACATCTCAAGTTGTTTCTCATCTGGAGACGTCAGTATGCTGGTCAACACCTCCTGTACCACGGTGACATTGTCTAGAGCATCGGTGGATGGATCCAACAGTAGCTCTGCTTTCTGATCGGGTGCTAGGGATCCCAGAGCTGCCAACTAAGATGAACAAAGCAAAAACACAACACCAGAGGACATTATGCAAGACCGCCAGTGCTTTGGTGCCTGACCTAAACCAAGCAAACAAACAACAACAACAAAACTGTAGAAAGGAAAGATAAGAAAAAGATGGTACGTTACCATGCTAATGTTCAGGGACTTGAGGTCTGAGTAACTGGCTGAAGAGGAGAATCGACCCAAGTTGGTGTCGAGCCATTCAGCAGCGCTTTCAGTTTTCTGTCTGCAACCTGATTTTTTAAAGACAAGGATGGAGGAAGGTCAGCCTGCATCATGCACACAACAGGGGACACAACACACACCCTGGCCTGTTGTCTAAGAAAAAATATTTATATTGCAACCCATTCCCTTCCAGCAACAAGGAGATGCTGGAAAAAGGTGTTCTGGAAGGTTTACCTGGCATGCTGAATTTGGCAGCAGTTGTCTTTAGGTGCTCGACCAGAACATTGGTTATCTCCTGCCTCCTGGTAAATGTCATTCTCTGGAAATTGATTCCCAATCCCTTAACTCTGCAACACAAAGCCAAAGAGGGGTCATGAGGTGGAGATCCTGGTGCAGGCTGAAAAACATTCTCACTCTGAAGTTAGAAACTCACATCACACGGTAGTCGGTGCAGTTGACTGAAGCTGTGACCTTAACCAGCATTTCTGTGGTGAAACTGGGGAGGATGGGAACGAGATTCACGGTGAACCACACCACCCAATCGTGAGTCTCAAATTTCCGGAAATAGCCTTCAATGATTGCGAAGGTGCGGTTCATCATCACGTCACTCACAGCAGGGCTGATGACAGGAATCTGTAGAGACACAACAACAGGAGTGTGAGTGGCACCGCAAGAAAGCCTCCTATTCTACACCTTTCTCTGGGGCATCCACACGGTCTATGCCACACATTTCAGCAGATTGACTTGCCTCTGGAGCTGCATTTAGTTCTGTCAGAAATTCCTTCATGTTCAGGAAAGCGTCGCCTTTCTCCAGCCGGTCAAACACAACCACGATCTGATCAGTGTTGTTTAGCGCTCCAGAGCTCAGGGTGATTTCAGCTACTTGAGTAGGGTTCAGCAGTGACAGCGATCCCAACTGAAGGACAAGATAGAGAGCAGAAGTTAGCGCAGGTGAAGCCCTTCACTTGAAAAAGAGAGAAGATTCATCATGACAGATCACATGGACAACTGGAGAAAGGCATCAGGTACGCACACTGGAGAAATTGACATTCAGGGCTTCTAAAAACTCCACAGTAGCATAGCCAGAGAACAGGCCAAAGTTCTTCTCAAGCCATTCAGCGCTGCTCGTCATTTTGGAAAGACAGGCAGCATCTGCAGTGAACCAAGAGCATTGGAAAATTCAACAGAAACAGTGCAATTGTAAGCAAGCTGCAAAATTTGCCACAACCTCAGACGTTAAAAGATACCCTGGCAACTACAACAAGATGGGTGATGAAGCTTGACAGTGACAGGGCTTACCTGTTCGGTCAGCTCTTGAGAGGAAGGGTTTGATGAAAGCATTGAAGACGTCCTGTTTTGTCTCCATTGCCATGAGCGATGATTGACGGCTGAGACCCAGCACCCTAAATAGGCAAAGAATGGTGGCCATTATGGATTGCCAGACTTCTCTCTCCTAAGCACCACTTCAGCACTTCCACAGCATTGAGGTTACTTACGCTGCTTGGTAGGAGTCACAGCTGAAGTTCTTGGTACTCAAGCAGGATAGAAACTCCACAGAGACAGATGGCAAAAACGGTCTCAGACGCTCCTGGAACCAGGCTGTAATGAAGCTGGCATTTGTCAGCTGTGAAGCGCTAAAGTTGCTGATTGTCAGCTGTCCAATGGCATCCAGAATGTTGGATGCAGCATGACCGTTGCTTAGGTTCTGGGAAAGCAAAGGGCACATATGTCACACACGTGTCAAAACAGAGCCCTCTGGCAGTGTTTCACTTGTGTACTGGAAAATGCAGGGCTGCTACTGACCTGACTGGAGTACACGGACAGCGCATTCTCCAGAACCCCAGTGACTTTCTGGAAGAAAAGCTTCCACATCTCTGTGCTGTTGCTCATGACCGTTGATGCCTTGCAGGTCAGCAGCGTGACGAGGTCATCAGAGGACAGAGAGGACGCAACCTTGGGGGGGGAAGCGGACAGATTTGTGCTGTTAGAGAAAAAGGTCTCTTTACAATTAACAGTCATACTGCTGCACGCTTCAGGAAAGGCTTACTGAAGAGCAGGCATATTCAGGAATGCTGAAGTTGCAGAGTTGAGCCGCGACGCTGCCTGATGTCTGAAGTTGTTCACTGCAAGGCACAAAAGCATGTTGTCCAGTTACACCTCTGTTTTAAATCTTACCTCATTTCTCAGTAGACACCACAGTGAAACTCACCTGTCTACACCTGCACAAAGCCTTTCCTCTGCAAAAAAGGCCAGAAAAGTTATCAGTGGCAGATCTTTATAGCCATCTCACAATATTATTAAAACTGAAAACATTTAGCAATCTTTGTTCCGACTCACCATCGATCAATGTTTCCTCGCACTGGTGAGAGGTGAGACAAAGCAAAAATTAGAGAAAAGAATTAGGAAGAGCTTATCTTGGGCATAATGCCACCAGATGAAGTACTTACAACAGCGGTGGGGGACACGGTCGGTGGTGCAGTGGGTGGTACTGGGGACGGTGTGGTGGATGGCATGGTGGGGGGCACTGTGGGGGGTGTGGTGGGTGGTGGAGTCGTGCAGGCTAAAGAGAGAAGCCAAGACAAGAGATATTGGTCGATGGGAGGCAACTCTCATGACGCTGACATATTCAAATACATGTGGTCACAATTTGTTGGCTTTTCTCACCGCCCAGGCACTGCCTAAGCATTCCAGCAGCTTTACTGATGCCATACCTTTTGGTGGTGAATGTTGAAGTGTGTCTACACTTGAATTTAGCTCTACTCCAACTCCTGACGGAAGATCTGCCAAAGCTATCTTCATGCCTTCCAGTCTGTCAAAACAAACAACATTGCTCAATCTCCACTTTTATTTCTACAGAACGATTGAGAAATTAAAGCCAAGGGGGCTGGTTTGCTCACATTGCTTGGTAAGATTCGCATGTGATGTTGGCAGGGATGACTTCCAGCACTGTAGGACTGAAGCTGGCCAGCAGGACCACCAGATTGGTTTGGAACCACAGCTCATAGTCGCTTGTTTCAAATAGGGGAAGTTTGGGAGCCAGGGCAGTCATGGTCAGATTCAGCATTGTGTCTCGGACAGCCACATTTTCGATGTAGGTTATACTTTCCTGAAGGGGTGGAGGAAGGAGGGGTTGCTGTTGGCTTGTTTAAATATCTAAAATCCGGTTCAGCTCATAAAGGTTAGTCATTCTGAAGACCTACCTACAAACATTACTCACCACTTTGCTGACTTTCACAAATGTTTCAAAAAACATCTCAAGTTGTTTCTCATCTGGAGACGTCAGTATGCTGGTCAACACCTCCTGTACCACGGTGACATTGTCTAGAGCATCGGTGGATGGATCCAACAGTAGCTCTGCTTTCTGATCGGGTGCTAGGGATCCCAGAGCTGCCAACTAAGATGAACAAAGCAAAAACACAACACCAGAGGACATTATGCAAGACCGCCAGTGCTTTGGTGCCTGACCTAAACCAAGCAAACAAACAACAACAACAAAACTGTAGAAAGGAAAGATAAGAAAAAGATGGTACGTTACCATGCTAATGTTCAGGGACTTGAGGTCTGAGTAACTGGCTGAAGAGGAGAATCGACCCAAGTTGGTGTCGAGCCATTCAGCAGCGCTTTCAGTTTTCTGTCTGCAACCTGATTTTTTAAAGACAAGGATGGAGGAAGGTCAGCCTGCATCATGCACACAACAGGGGACACAACACACACCCTGGCCTGTTGTCTAAGAAAAAATATTTATATTGCAACCCATTCCCTTCCAGCAACAAGGAGATGCTGGAAAAAGGTGTTCTGGAAGGTTTACCTGGCATGCTGAATTTGGCAGCAGTTGTCTTTAGGTGCTCGACCAGAACATTGGTTATCTCCTGCCTCCTGGTAAATGTCATTCTCTGGAAATTGATTCCCAATCCCTTAACTCTGCAACACAAAGCCAAAGAGGGGTCATGAGGTGGAGATCCTGGTGCAGGCTGAAAAACATTCTCACTCTGAAGTTAGAAACTCACATCACACGGTAGTCGGTGCAGTTGACTGAAGCTGTGACCTTAACCAGCATTTCTGTGGTGAAACTGGGGAGGATGGGAACGAGATTCACGGTGAACCACACCACCCAATCGTGAGTCTCAAATTTCCGGAAATAGCCTTCAATGATTGCGAAGGTGCGGTTCATCATCACGTCACTCACAGCAGGGCTGATGACAGGAATCTGTAGAGACACAACAACAGGAGTGTGAGTGGCACCGCAAGAAAGCCTCCTATTCTACACCTTTCTCTGGGGCATCCACACGGTCTATGCCACACATTTCAGCAGATTGACTTGCCTCTGGAGCTGCATTTAGTTCTGTCAGAAATTCCTTCATGTTCAGGAAAGCGTCGCCTTTCTCCAGCCGGTCAAACACAACCACGATCTGATCAGTGTTGTTTAGCGCTCCAGAGCTCAGGGTGATTTCAGCTACTTGAGTAGGGTTCAGCAGTGACAGCGATCCCAACTGAAGGACAAGATAGAGAGCAGAAGTTAGCGCAGGTGAAGCCCTTCACTTGAAAAAGAGAGAAGATTCATCATGACAGATCACATGGACAACTGGAGAAAGGCATCAGGTACGCACACTGGAGAAATTGACATTCAGGGCTTCTAAAAACTCCACAGTAGCATAGCCAGAGAACAGGCCAAAGTTCTTCTCAAGCCATTCAGCGCTGCTCGTCATTTTGGAAAGACAGGCAGCATCTGCAGTGAACCAAGAGCATTGGAAAATTCAACAGAAACAGTGCAATTGTAAGCAAGCTGCAAAATTTGCCACAACCTCAGACGTTAAAAGATACCCTGGCAACTACAACAAGATGGGTGATGAAGCTTGACAGTGACAGGGCTTACCTGTTCGGTCAGCTCTTGAGAGGAAGGGTTTGATGAAAGCATTGAAGACGTCCTGTTTTGTCTCCATTGCCATGAGCGATGATTGACGGCTGAGACCCAGCACCCTAAATAGGCAAAGAATGGTGGCCATTATGGATTGCCAGACTTCTCTCTCCTAAGCACCACTTCAGCACTTCCACAGCATTGAGGTTACTTACGCTGCTTGGTAGGAGTCACAGCTGAAGTTCTTGGTACTCAAGCAGGATAGAAACTCCACAGAGACAGATGGCAAAAACGGTCTCAGACGCTCCTGGAACCAGGCTGTAATGAAGCTGGCATTTGTCAGCTGTGAAGCGCTAAAGTTGCTGATTGTCAGCTGTCCAATGGCATCCAGAATGTTGGATGCAGCATGACCGTTGCTTAGGTTCTGGGAAAGCAAAGGGCACATATGTCACACACGTGTCAAAACAGAGCCCTCTGGCAGTGTTTCACTTGTGTACTGGAAAATGCAGGGCTGCTACTGACCTGACTGGAGTACACGGACAGCGCATTCTCCAGAACCCCAGTGACTTTCTGGAAGAAAAGCTTCCACATCTCTGTGCTGTTGCTCATGACCGTTGATGCCTTGCAGGTCAGCAGCGTGACGAGGTCATCAGAGGACAGAGAGGACGCAACCTTGGGGGGGGAAGCGGACAGATTTGTGCTGTTAGAGAAAAAGGTCTCTTTACAATTAACAGTCATACTGCTGCACGCTTCAGGAAAGGCTTACTGAAGAGCAGGCATATTCAGGAATGCTGAAGTTGCAGAGTTGAGCCGCGACGCTGCCTGATGTCTGAAGTTGTTCACTGCAAGGCACAAAAGCATGTTGTCCAGTTACACCTCTGTTTTAAATCTTACCTCATTTCTCAGTAGACACCACAGTGAAACTCACCTGTCTACACCTGCACAAAGCCTTTCCTCTGCAAAAAAGGCCAGAAAAGTTATCAGTGGCAGATCTTTATAGCCATCTCACAATATTATTAAAACTGAAAACATTTAGCAATCTTTGTTCCGACTCACCATCGATCAATGTTTCCTCGCACTGGTGAGAGGTGAGACAAAGCAAAAATTAGAGAAAAGAATTAGGAAGAGCTTATCTTGGGCATAATGCCACCAGATGAAGTACTTACAACAGCGGTGGGGGACACGGTCGGTGGTGCAGTGGGTGGTACTGGGGACGGTGTGGTGGATGGCATGGTGGGGGGCACTGTGGGGGGTGTGGTGGGTGGTGGAGTCGTGCAGGCTAAAGAGAGAAGCCAAGACAAGAGATATTGGTCGATGGGAGGCAACTCTCATGACGCTGACATATTCAAATACATGTGGTCACAATTTGTTGGCTTTTCTCACCGCCCAGGCACTGCCTAAGCATTCCAGCAGCTTTACTGATGCCATACCTTTTGGTGGTGAATGTTGAAGTGTGTCTACACTTGAATTTAGCTCTACTCCAACTCCTGACGGAAGATCTGCCAAAGCTATCTTCATGCCTTCCAGTCTGTCAAAACAAACAACATTGCTCAATCTCCACTTTTATTTCTACAGAACGATTGAGAAATTAAAGCCAAGGGGGCTGGTTTGCTCACATTGCTTGGTAAGATTCGCATGTGATGTTGGCAGGGATGACTTCCAGCACTGTAGGACTGAAGCTGGCCAGCAGGACCACCAGATTGGTTTGGAACCACAGCTCATAGTCGCTTGTTTCAAATAGGGGAAGTTTGGGAGCCAGGGCAGTCATGGTCAGATTCAGCATTGTGTCTCGGACAGCCACATTTTCGATGTAGGTTATACTTTCCTGAAGGGGTGGAGGAAGGAGGGGTTGCTGTTGGCTTGTTTAAATATCTAAAATCCGGTTCAGCTCATAAAGGTTAGTCATTCTGAAGACCTACCTACAAACATTACTCACCACTTTGCTGACTTTCACAAATGTTTCAAAAAACATCTCAAGTTGTTTCTCATCTGGAGACGTCAGTATGCTGGTCAACACCTCCTGTACCACGGTGACATTGTCTAGAGCATCGGTGGATGGATCCAACAGTAGCTCTGCTTTCTGATCGGGTGCTAGGGATCCCAGAGCTGCCAACTAAGATGAACAAAGCAAAAACACAACACCAGAGGACATTATGCAAGACCGCCAGTGCTTTGGTGCCTGACCTAAACCAAGCAAACAAACAACAACAACAAAACTGTAGAAAGGAAAGATAAGAAAAAGATGGTACGTTACCATGCTAATGTTCAGGGACTTGAGGTCTGAGTAACTGGCTGAAGAGGAGAATCGACCCAAGTTGGTGTCGAGCCATTCAGCAGCGCTTTCAGTTTTCTGTCTGCAACCTGATTTTTTAAAGACAAGGATGGAGGAAGGTCAGCCTGCATCATGCACACAACAGGGGACACAACACACACCCTGGCCTGTTGTCTAAGAAAAAATATTTATATTGCAACCCATTCCCTTCCAGCAACAAGGAGATGCTGGAAAAAGGTGTTCTGGAAGGTTTACCTGGCATGCTGAATTTGGCAGCAGTTGTCTTTAGGTGCTCGACCAGAACATTGGTTATCTCCTGCCTCCTGGTAAATGTCATTCTCTGGAAATTGATTCCCAATCCCTTAACTCTGCAACACAAAGCCAAAGAGGGGTCATGAGGTGGAGATCCTGGTGCAGGCTGAAAAACATTCTCACTCTGAAGTTAGAAACTCACATCACACGGTAGTCGGTGCAGTTGACTGAAGCTGTGACCTTAACCAGCATTTCTGTGGTGAAACTGGGGAGGATGGGAACGAGATTCACGGTGAACCACACCACCCAATCGTGAGTCTCAAATTTCCGGAAATAGCCTTCAATGATTGCGAAGGTGCGGTTCATCATCACGTCACTCACAGCAGGGCTGATGACAGGAATCTGTAGAGACACAACAACAGGAGTGTGAGTGGCACCGCAAGAAAGCCTCCTATTCTACACCTTTCTCTGGGGCATCCACACGGTCTATGCCACACATTTCAGCAGATTGACTTGCCTCTGGAGCTGCATTTAGTTCTGTCAGAAATTCCTTCATGTTCAGGAAAGCGTCGCCTTTCTCCAGCCGGTCAAACACAACCACGATCTGATCAGTGTTGTTTAGCGCTCCAGAGCTCAGGGTGATTTCAGCTACTTGAGTAGGGTTCAGCAGTGACAGCGATCCCAACTGAAGGACAAGATAGAGAGCAGAAGTTAGCGCAGGTGAAGCCCTTCACTTGAAAAAGAGAGAAGATTCATCATGACAGATCACATGGACAACTGGAGAAAGGCATCAGGTACGCACACTGGAGAAATTGACATTCAGGGCTTCTAAAAACTCCACAGTAGCATAGCCAGAGAACAGGCCAAAGTTCTTCTCAAGCCATTCAGCGCTGCTCGTCATTTTGGAAAGACAGGCAGCATCTGCAGTGAACCAAGAGCATTGGAAAATTCAACAGAAACAGTGCAATTGTAAGCAAGCTGCAAAATTTGCCACAACCTCAGACGTTAAAAGATACCCTGGCAACTACAACAAGATGGGTGATGAAGCTTGACAGTGACAGGGCTTACCTGTTCGGTCAGCTCTTGAGAGGAAGGGTTTGATGAAAGCATTGAAGACGTCCTGTTTTGTCTCCATTGCCATGAGCGATGATTGACGGCTGAGACCCAGCACCCTAAATAGGCAAAGAATGGTGGCCATTATGGATTGCCAGACTTCTCTCTCCTAAGCACCACTTCAGCACTTCCACAGCATTGAGGTTACTTACGCTGCTTGGTAGGAGTCACAGCTGAAGTTCTTGGTACTCAAGCAGGATAGAAACTCCACAGAGACAGATGGCAAAAACGGTCTCAGACGCTCCTGGAACCAGGCTGTAATGAAGCTGGCATTTGTCAGCTGTGAAGCGCTAAAGTTGCTGATTGTCAGCTGTCCAATGGCATCCAGAATGTTGGATGCAGCATGACCGTTGCTTAGGTTCTGGGAAAGCAAAGGGCACATATGTCACACACGTGTCAAAACAGAGCCCTCTGGCAGTGTTTCACTTGTGTACTGGAAAATGCAGGGCTGCTACTGACCTGACTGGAGTACACGGACAGCGCATTCTCCAGAACCCCAGTGACTTTCTGGAAGAAAAGCTTCCACATCTCTGTGCTGTTGCTCATGACCGTTGATGCCTTGCAGGTCAGCAGCGTGACGAGGTCATCAGAGGACAGAGAGGACGCAACCTTGGGGGGGGAAGCGGACAGATTTGTGCTGTTAGAGAAAAAGGTCTCTTTACAATTAACAGTCATACTGCTGCACGCTTCAGGAAAGGCTTACTGAAGAGCAGGCATATTCAGGAATGCTGAAGTTGCAGAGTTGAGCCGCGACGCTGCCTGATGTCTGAAGTTGTTCACTGCAAGGCACAAAAGCATGTTGTCCAGTTACACCTCTGTTTTAAATCTTACCTCATTTCTCAGTAGACACCACAGTGAAACTCACCTGTCTACACCTGCACAAAGCCTTTCCTCTGCAAAAAAGGCCAGAAAAGTTATCAGTGGCAGATCTTTATAGCCATCTCACAATATTATTAAAACTGAAAACATTTAGCAATCTTTGTTCCGACTCACCATCGATCAATGTTTCCTCGCACTGGTGAGAGGTGAGACAAAGCAAAAATTAGAGAAAAGAATTAGGAAGAGCTTATCTTGGGCATAATGCCACCAGATGAAGTACTTACAACAGCGGTGGGGGACACGGTCGGTGGTGCAGTGGGTGGTACTGGGGACGGTGTGGTGGATGGCATGGTGGGGGGCACTGTGGGGGGTGTGGTGGGTGGTGGAGTCGTGCAGGCTAAAGAGAGAAGCCAAGACAAGAGATATTGGTCGATGGGAGGCAACTCTCATGACGCTGACATATTCAAATACATGTGGTCACAATTTGTTGGCTTTTCTCACCGCCCAGGCACTGCCTAAGCATTCCAGCAGCTTTACTGATGCCATACCTTTTGGTGGTGAATGTTGAAGTGTGTCTACACTTGAATTTAGCTCTACTCCAACTCCTGACGGAAGATCTGCCAAAGCTATCTTCATGCCTTCCAGTCTGTCAAAACAAACAACATTGCTCAATCTCCACTTTTATTTCTACAGAACGATTGAGAAATTAAAGCCAAGGGGGCTGGTTTGCTCACATTGCTTGGTAAGATTCGCATGTGATGTTGGCAGGGATGACTTCCAGCACTGTAGGACTGAAGCTGGCCAGCAGGACCACCAGATTGGTTTGGAACCACAGCTCATAGTCGCTTGTTTCAAATAGGGGAAGTTTGGGAGCCAGGGCAGTCATGGTCAGATTCAGCATTGTGTCTCGGACAGCCACATTTTCGATGTAGGTTATACTTTCCTGAAGGGGTGGAGGAAGGAGGGGTTGCTGTTGGCTTGTTTAAATATCTAAAATCCGGTTCAGCTCATAAAGGTTAGTCATTCTGAAGACCTACCTACAAACATTACTCACCACTTTGCTGACTTTCACAAATGTTTCAAAAAACATCTCAAGTTGTTTCTCATCTGGAGACGTCAGTATGCTGGTCAACACCTCCTGTACCACGGTGACATTGTCTAGAGCATCGGTGGATGGATCCAACAGTAGCTCTGCTTTCTGATCGGGTGCTAGGGATCCCAGAGCTGCCAACTAAGATGAACAAAGCAAAAACACAACACCAGAGGACATTATGCAAGACCGCCAGTGCTTTGGTGCCTGACCTAAACCAAGCAAACAAACAACAACAACAAAACTGTAGAAAGGAAAGATAAGAAAAAGATGGTACGTTACCATGCTAATGTTCAGGGACTTGAGGTCTGAGTAACTGGCTGAAGAGGAGAATCGACCCAAGTTGGTGTCGAGCCATTCAGCAGCGCTTTCAGTTTTCTGTCTGCAACCTGATTTTTTAAAGACAAGGATGGAGGAAGGTCAGCCTGCATCATGCACACAACAGGGGACACAACACACACCCTGGCCTGTTGTCTAAGAAAAAATATTTATATTGCAACCCATTCCCTTCCAGCAACAAGGAGATGCTGGAAAAAGGTGTTCTGGAAGGTTTACCTGGCATGCTGAATTTGGCAGCAGTTGTCTTTAGGTGCTCGACCAGAACATTGGTTATCTCCTGCCTCCTGGTAAATGTCATTCTCTGGAAATTGATTCCCAATCCCTTAACTCTGCAACACAAAGCCAAAGAGGGGTCATGAGGTGGAGATCCTGGTGCAGGCTGAAAAACATTCTCACTCTGAAGTTAGAAACTCACATCACACGGTAGTCGGTGCAGTTGACTGAAGCTGTGACCTTAACCAGCATTTCTGTGGTGAAACTGGGGAGGATGGGAACGAGATTCACGGTGAACCACACCACCCAATCGTGAGTCTCAAATTTCCGGAAATAGCCTTCAATGATTGCGAAGGTGCGGTTCATCATCACGTCACTCACAGCAGGGCTGATGACAGGAATCTGTAGAGACACAACAACAGGAGTGTGAGTGGCACCGCAAGAAAGCCTCCTATTCTACACCTTTCTCTGGGGCATCCACACGGTCTATGCCACACATTTCAGCAGATTGACTTGCCTCTGGAGCTGCATTTAGTTCTGTCAGAAATTCCTTCATGTTCAGGAAAGCGTCGCCTTTCTCCAGCCGGTCAAACACAACCACGATCTGATCAGTGTTGTTTAGCGCTCCAGAGCTCAGGGTGATTTCAGCTACTTGAGTAGGGTTCAGCAGTGACAGCGATCCCAACTGAAGGACAAGATAGAGAGCAGAAGTTAGCGCAGGTGAAGCCCTTCACTTGAAAAAGAGAGAAGATTCATCATGACAGATCACATGGACAACTGGAGAAAGGCATCAGGTACGCACACTGGAGAAATTGACATTCAGGGCTTCTAAAAACTCCACAGTAGCATAGCCAGAGAACAGGCCAAAGTTCTTCTCAAGCCATTCAGCGCTGCTCGTCATTTTGGAAAGACAGGCAGCATCTGCAGTGAACCAAGAGCATTGGAAAATTCAACAGAAACAGTGCAATTGTAAGCAAGCTGCAAAATTTGCCACAACCTCAGACGTTAAAAGATACCCTGGCAACTACAACAAGATGGGTGATGAAGCTTGACAGTGACAGGGCTTACCTGTTCGGTCAGCTCTTGAGAGGAAGGGTTTGATGAAAGCATTGAAGACGTCCTGTTTTGTCTCCATTGCCATGAGCGATGATTGACGGCTGAGACCCAGCACCCTAAATAGGCAAAGAATGGTGGCCATTATGGATTGCCAGACTTCTCTCTCCTAAGCACCACTTCAGCACTTCCACAGCATTGAGGTTACTTACGCTGCTTGGTAGGAGTCACAGCTGAAGTTCTTGGTACTCAAGCAGGATAGAAACTCCACAGAGACAGATGGCAAAAACGGTCTCAGACGCTCCTGGAACCAGGCTGTAATGAAGCTGGCATTTGTCAGCTGTGAAGCGCTAAAGTTGCTGATTGTCAGCTGTCCAATGGCATCCAGAATGTTGGATGCAGCATGACCGTTGCTTAGGTTCTGGGAAAGCAAAGGGCACATATGTCACACACGTGTCAAAACAGAGCCCTCTGGCAGTGTTTCACTTGTGTACTGGAAAATGCAGGGCTGCTACTGACCTGACTGGAGTACACGGACAGCGCATTCTCCAGAACCCCAGTGACTTTCTGGAAGAAAAGCTTCCACATCTCTGTGCTGTTGCTCATGACCGTTGATGCCTTGCAGGTCAGCAGCGTGACGAGGTCATCAGAGGACAGAGAGGACGCAACCTTGGGGGGGGAAGCGGACAGATTTGTGCTGTTAGAGAAAAAGGTCTCTTTACAATTAACAGTCATACTGCTGCACGCTTCAGGAAAGGCTTACTGAAGAGCAGGCATATTCAGGAATGCTGAAGTTGCAGAGTTGAGCCGCGACGCTGCCTGATGTCTGAAGTTGTTCACTGCAAGGCACAAAAGCATGTTGTCCAGTTACACCTCTGTTTTAAATCTTACCTCATTTCTCAGTAGACACCACAGTGAAACTCACCTGTCTACACCTGCACAAAGCCTTTCCTCTGCAAAAAAGGCCAGAAAAGTTATCAGTGGCAGATCTTTATAGCCATCTCACAATATTATTAAAACTGAAAACATTTAGCAATCTTTGTTCCGACTCACCATCGATCAATGTTTCCTCGCACTGGTGAGAGGTGAGACAAAGCAAAAATTAGAGAAAAGAATTAGGAAGAGCTTATCTTGGGCATAATGCCACCAGATGAAGTACTTACAACAGCGGTGGGGGACACGGTCGGTGGTGCAGTGGGTGGTACTGGGGACGGTGTGGTGGATGGCATGGTGGGGGGCACTGTGGGGGGTGTGGTGGGTGGTGGAGTCGTGCAGGCTAAAGAGAGAAGCCAAGACAAGAGATATTGGTCGATGGGAGGCAACTCTCATGACGCTGACATATTCAAATACATGTGGTCACAATTTGTTGGCTTTTCTCACCGCCCAGGCACTGCCTAAGCATTCCAGCAGCTTTACTGATGCCATACCTTTTGGTGGTGAATGTTGAAGTGTGTCTACACTTGAATTTAGCTCTACTCCAACTCCTGACGGAAGATCTGCCAAAGCTATCTTCATGCCTTCCAGTCTGTCAAAACAAACAACATTGCTCAATCTCCACTTTTATTTCTACAGAACGATTGAGAAATTAAAGCCAAGGGGGCTGGTTTGCTCACATTGCTTGGTAAGATTCGCATGTGATGTTGGCAGGGATGACTTCCAGCACTGTAGGACTGAAGCTGGCCAGCAGGACCACCAGATTGGTTTGGAACCACAGCTCATAGTCGCTTGTTTCAAATAGGGGAAGTTTGGGAGCCAGGGCAGTCATGGTCAGATTCAGCATTGTGTCTCGGACAGCCACATTTTCGATGTAGGTTATACTTTCCTGAAGGGGTGGAGGAAGGAGGGGTTGCTGTTGGCTTGTTTAAATATCTAAAATCCGGTTCAGCTCATAAAGGTTAGTCATTCTGAAGACCTACCTACAAACATTACTCACCACTTTGCTGACTTTCACAAATGTTTCAAAAAACATCTCAAGTTGTTTCTCATCTGGAGACGTCAGTATGCTGGTCAACACCTCCTGTACCACGGTGACATTGTCTAGAGCATCGGTGGATGGATCCAACAGTAGCTCTGCTTTCTGATCGGGTGCTAGGGATCCCAGAGCTGCCAACTAAGATGAACAAAGCAAAAACACAACACCAGAGGACATTATGCAAGACCGCCAGTGCTTTGGTGCCTGACCTAAACCAAGCAAACAAACAACAACAACAAAACTGTAGAAAGGAAAGATAAGAAAAAGATGGTACGTTACCATGCTAATGTTCAGGGACTTGAGGTCTGAGTAACTGGCTGAAGAGGAGAATCGACCCAAGTTGGTGTCGAGCCATTCAGCAGCGCTTTCAGTTTTCTGTCTGCAACCTGATTTTTTAAAGACAAGGATGGAGGAAGGTCAGCCTGCATCATGCACACAACAGGGGACACAACACACACCCTGGCCTGTTGTCTAAGAAAAAATATTTATATTGCAACCCATTCCCTTCCAGCAACAAGGAGATGCTGGAAAAAGGTGTTCTGGAAGGTTTACCTGGCATGCTGAATTTGGCAGCAGTTGTCTTTAGGTGCTCGACCAGAACATTGGTTATCTCCTGCCTCCTGGTAAATGTCATTCTCTGGAAATTGATTCCCAATCCCTTAACTCTGCAACACAAAGCCAAAGAGGGGTCATGAGGTGGAGATCCTGGTGCAGGCTGAAAAACATTCTCACTCTGAAGTTAGAAACTCACATCACACGGTAGTCGGTGCAGTTGACTGAAGCTGTGACCTTAACCAGCATTTCTGTGGTGAAACTGGGGAGGATGGGAACGAGATTCACGGTGAACCACACCACCCAATCGTGAGTCTCAAATTTCCGGAAATAGCCTTCAATGATTGCGAAGGTGCGGTTCATCATCACGTCACTCACAGCAGGGCTGATGACAGGAATCTGTAGAGACACAACAACAGGAGTGTGAGTGGCACCGCAAGAAAGCCTCCTATTCTACACCTTTCTCTGGGGCATCCACACGGTCTATGCCACACATTTCAGCAGATTGACTTGCCTCTGGAGCTGCATTTAGTTCTGTCAGAAATTCCTTCATGTTCAGGAAAGCGTCGCCTTTCTCCAGCCGGTCAAACACAACCACGATCTGATCAGTGTTGTTTAGCGCTCCAGAGCTCAGGGTGATTTCAGCTACTTGAGTAGGGTTCAGCAGTGACAGCGATCCCAACTGAAGGACAAGATAGAGAGCAGAAGTTAGCGCAGGTGAAGCCCTTCACTTGAAAAAGAGAGAAGATTCATCATGACAGATCACATGGACAACTGGAGAAAGGCATCAGGTACGCACACTGGAGAAATTGACATTCAGGGCTTCTAAAAACTCCACAGTAGCATAGCCAGAGAACAGGCCAAAGTTCTTCTCAAGCCATTCAGCGCTGCTCGTCATTTTGGAAAGACAGGCAGCATCTGCAGTGAACCAAGAGCATTGGAAAATTCAACAGAAACAGTGCAATTGTAAGCAAGCTGCAAAATTTGCCACAACCTCAGACGTTAAAAGATACCCTGGCAACTACAACAAGATGGGTGATGAAGCTTGACAGTGACAGGGCTTACCTGTTCGGTCAGCTCTTGAGAGGAAGGGTTTGATGAAAGCATTGAAGACGTCCTGTTTTGTCTCCATTGCCATGAGCGATGATTGACGGCTGAGACCCAGCACCCTAAATAGGCAAAGAATGGTGGCCATTATGGATTGCCAGACTTCTCTCTCCTAAGCACCACTTCAGCACTTCCACAGCATTGAGGTTACTTACGCTGCTTGGTAGGAGTCACAGCTGAAGTTCTTGGTACTCAAGCAGGATAGAAACTCCACAGAGACAGATGGCAAAAACGGTCTCAGACGCTCCTGGAACCAGGCTGTAATGAAGCTGGCATTTGTCAGCTGTGAAGCGCTAAAGTTGCTGATTGTCAGCTGTCCAATGGCATCCAGAATGTTGGATGCAGCATGACCGTTGCTTAGGTTCTGGGAAAGCAAAGGGCACATATGTCACACACGTGTCAAAACAGAGCCCTCTGGCAGTGTTTCACTTGTGTACTGGAAAATGCAGGGCTGCTACTGACCTGACTGGAGTACACGGACAGCGCATTCTCCAGAACCCCAGTGACTTTCTGGAAGAAAAGCTTCCACATCTCTGTGCTGTTGCTCATGACCGTTGATGCCTTGCAGGTCAGCAGCGTGACGAGGTCATCAGAGGACAGAGAGGACGCAACCTTGGGGGGGGAAGCGGACAGATTTGTGCTGTTAGAGAAAAAGGTCTCTTTACAATTAACAGTCATACTGCTGCACGCTTCAGGAAAGGCTTACTGAAGAGCAGGCATATTCAGGAATGCTGAAGTTGCAGAGTTGAGCCGCGACGCTGCCTGATGTCTGAAGTTGTTCACTGCAAGGCACAAAAGCATGTTGTCCAGTTACACCTCTGTTTTAAATCTTACCTCATTTCTCAGTAGACACCACAGTGAAACTCACCTGTCTACACCTGCACAAAGCCTTTCCTCTGCAAAAAAGGCCAGAAAAGTTATCAGTGGCAGATCTTTATAGCCATCTCACAATATTATTAAAACTGAAAACATTTAGCAATCTTTGTTCCGACTCACCATCGATCAATGTTTCCTCGCACTGGTGAGAGGTGAGACAAAGCAAAAATTAGAGAAAAGAATTAGGAAGAGCTTATCTTGGGCATAATGCCACCAGATGAAGTACTTACAACAGCGGTGGGGGACACGGTCGGTGGTGCAGTGGGTGGTACTGGGGACGGTGTGGTGGATGGCATGGTGGGGGGCACTGTGGGGGGTGTGGTGGGTGGTGGAGTCGTGCAGGCTAAAGAGAGAAGCCAAGACAAGAGATATTGGTCGATGGGAGGCAACTCTCATGACGCTGACATATTCAAATACATGTGGTCACAATTTGTTGGCTTTTCTCACCGCCCAGGCACTGCCTAAGCATTCCAGCAGCTTTACTGATGCCATACCTTTTGGTGGTGAATGTTGAAGTGTGTCTACACTTGAATTTAGCTCTACTCCAACTCCTGACGGAAGATCTGCCAAAGCTATCTTCATGCCTTCCAGTCTGTCAAAACAAACAACATTGCTCAATCTCCACTTTTATTTCTACAGAACGATTGAGAAATTAAAGCCAAGGGGGCTGGTTTGCTCACATTGCTTGGTAAGATTCGCATGTGATGTTGGCAGGGATGACTTCCAGCACTGTAGGACTGAAGCTGGCCAGCAGGACCACCAGATTGGTTTGGAACCACAGCTCATAGTCGCTTGTTTCAAATAGGGGAAGTTTGGGAGCCAGGGCAGTCATGGTCAGATTCAGCATTGTGTCTCGGACAGCCACGTTTTCGATGTAGGTTATACTTTCCTGAAGGGGTGGAGGAAGGAGGGGTTGCTGTTGGCTTGTTTAAATATCTAAAATCCGGTTCAGCTCATAAAGGTTAGTCACTCTGAAGACCTACCTACAAACATTACTCACCACTTTGCTGACTTTCACAAATGTTTCAAAAAACATCTCAAGTTGTTTCTCATCTGGAGACGTCAGTATGCTGGTCAACACCTCCTGTACCACGGTGACATTGTCTAGAGCATCGGTGGATGGATCCAACAGTAGCTCTGCTTTCTGATCGGGTGCTAGGGATCCCAGAGCTGCCAACTAAGATGAACAAAGCAAAAACACAACACCAGAGGACATTATGCAAGACCGCCAGTGCTTTGGTGCCTGACCTAAACCAAGCAAACAAACAACAACAACAAAACTGTAGAAAGGAAAGATAAGAAAAAGATGGTACGTTACCATGCTGATGTTCAGGGACTTGAGGTCTGAGTAACTGGCTGAAGAGGAGAATCGACCCAAGTTGGTGTCGAGCCATTCAGCAGCGCTTTCAGTTTTCTGTCTGCAACCTGATTTTTTAAAGACAAGGATGGAGGAAGGTCAGCCTGCATCATGCACACAACAGGGGACACAACACACACCCTGGCCTGTTGTCTAAGAAAAAATATTTATATTGCAACCCATTCCCTTCCAGCAACAAGGAGATGCTGGAAAAAGGTGTTCTGGAAGGTTTACCTGGCATGCTGAATTTGGCAGCAGTTGTCTTTAGGTGCTCGACCAGAACATTGGTTATCTCCTGCCTCCTGGTAAATGTCATTCTCTGGAAATTGATTCCCAATCCCTTAACTCTGCAACACAAAGCCAAAGAGGGGTCATGAGGTGGAGATCCTGGTGCAGGCTGAAAAACATTCTCACTCTGAAGTTAGAAACTCACATCACACGGTAGTCGGTGCAGTTGACTGAAGCTGTGACCTTAACCAGCATTTCTGTGGTGAAACTGGGGAGGATGGGAACGAGATTCACGGTGAACCACACCACCCAATCGTGAGTCTCAAATTTCCGGAAATAGCCTTCAATGATTGCGAAGGTGCGGTTCATCATCACGTCACTCACAGCAGGGCTGATGACAGGAATCTGTAGAGACACAACAACAGGAGTGTGAGTGGCACCGCAAGAAAGCCTCCTATTCTACACCTTTCTCTGGGGCATCCACACGGTCTATGCCACACATTTCAGCAGATTGACTTGCCTCTGGAGCTGCATTTAGTTCTGTCAGAAATTCCTTCATGTTCAGGAAAGCGTCGCCTTTCTCCAGCCGGTCAAACACAACCACGATCTGATCAGTGTTGTTTAGCGCTCCAGAGCTCAGGGTGATTTCAGCTACTTGAGTAGGGTTCAGCAGTGACAGCGATCCCAACTGAAGGACAAGATAGAGAGCAGAAGTTAGCGCAGGTGAAGCCCTTCACTTGAAAAAGACAGAAGATTCATCATGACAGATCACATGGACAACTGGAGAAAGGCATCAGGTACGCACACTGGAGAAATTCACATTCAGGGCTTCTAAAAACTCCACAGTAGCATAGCCAGAGAACAGGCCAAAGTTCTTCTCAAGCCATTCAGCGCTGCTCGTCATTTTGGAAAGACAGGCAGCATCTGCAGTGAACCAAGAGCATTGGAAAATTCAACAGAAACAGTGCAATTGTAAGCAAGCTGCAAAATTTGCCACAACCTCAGACGTTAAAAGATACCCTGGCAACTACAACAAGATGGGTGATGAAGCTTGACAGTGACAGGGCTTACCTGTTCGGTCAGCTCTTGAGAGGAAGGGTTTGATGAAAGCATTGAAGACGTCCTGTTTTGTCTCCATTGCCATGAGCGATGATTGACGGCTGAGACCCAGCACCCTAAATAGGCAAAGAATGGTGGCCATTATGGATTGCCAGACTTCTCTCTCCTAAGCACCACTTCAGCACTTCCACAGCATTGAGGTTACTTACGCTGCTTGGTAGGAGTCACAGCTGAAGTTCTTGGTACTCAAGCAGGATAGAAACTCCACAGAGACAGATGGCAAAAACGGTCTCAGACGCTCCTGGAACCAGGCTGTAATGAAGCTGGCATTTGTCAGCTGTGAAGCGCTAAAGTTGCTGATTGTCAGCTGTCCAATGGCATCCAGAATGTTGGATGCAGCATGACCGTTGCTTAGGTTCTGGGAAAGCAAAGGGCACATATGTCACACACGTGTCAAAACAGAGCCCTCTGGCAGTGTTTCACTTGTGTACTGGAAAATGCAGGGCTGCTACTGACCTGACTGGAGTACACGGACAGCGCATTCTCCAGAACCCCAGTGACTTTCTGGAAGAAAAGCTTCCACATCTCTGTGCTGTTGCTCATGACCGTTGATGCCTTGCAGGTCAGCAGCGTGACGAGGTCATCAGAGGACAGAGAGGACGCAACCTTGGGGGGGGGGGGGGAAGCGGACAGATTTGTGTTGTTAGAGAAAAAGGTCTCTTTACAATTAACAGTCATACTGCTGCACGCTTCAGGAAAGGCTTACTGAAGAGCAGGCATATTCAGGAATGCTGAAGTTGCAGAGTTGAGCCGCGACGCTGCCTGATGTCTGAAGTTGTTCACTGCAAGGCACAAAAGCATGTTGTCCATTTACACCTCTGTTTTAAATCTTACCTCATTTCTCAGTAGACACCACAATGAAACTCACCTGTCTACACCTGCACAAAGCCTTTCCTCTGCAAAAAAGGCCAGAAAAGTTATCAGTGGCAGATCTTTATAGCCATCTCACAATATTATTAAAACTGAAAACATTTAGCAATCTTTGTTCCGACTCACCATCAATCAATGTTTCCTCGCACTGGTGAGAGGTGAGACAAAGCAAAAATTAGAGAAAAGAATTAGGAAGAGCTTATCTTGGGCATAATGCCACCAGATGAAGTACTTACAACAGCGGTGGGGGACACGGTCGGTGGTGCAGTGGGTGGTACTGGGGACGGTGTGGTGGATGGCATGGTGGGGGGCACTGTGGGGGGTGTGGTGGGTGGTGGAGTCGTGCAGGCTAAAGAGAGAAGCCAAGACAAGAGATATTGGTCGATGGGAGGCAACTCTCATGACGCTGACATATTCAAATACATGTGGTCACAATTTGTTGGCTTTTCTCACCGCCCAGGCACTGCCTAAGCATTCCAGCAGCTTTACTGATGCCATACCTTTTGGTGGTGAATGTTGAAGTGTGTCTACACTTGAATTTAGCTCTACTCCAACTCCTGACGGAAGATCTGCCAAAGCTATCTTCATGCCTTCCAGTCTGTCAAAACAAACAACATTGCTCAATCTCCACTTTTATTTCTACAGAACGATTGAGAAATTAAAGCCAAGGGGGCTGGTTTGCTCACATTGCTTGGTAAGATTCGCATGTGATGTTGGCAGGGATGACTTCCAGCACTGTAGGACTGAAGCTGGCCAGCAGGACCACCAGATTGGTTTGGAACCACAGCTCATAGTCGCTTGTTTCAAATAGGGGAAGTTTGGGAGCCAGGGCAGTCATGGTCAGATTCAGCATTGTGTCTCGGACAGCCACATTTTCGATGTAGGTTATACTTTCCTGAAGGGGTGGAGGAAGGAGGGGTTGCTGTTGGCTTGTTTAAATATCTAAAATCCGGTTCAGCTCATAAAGGTTAGTCATTCTGAAGACCTACCTACAAACATTACTCACCACTTTGCTGACTTTCACAAATGTTTCAAAAAACATCTCAAGTTGTTTCTCATCTGGAGACGTCAGTATGCTGGTCAACACCTCCTGTACCACGGTGACATTGTCTAGAGCATCGGTGGATGGATCCAACAGTAGCTCTGCTTTCTGATCGGGTGCTAGGGATCCCAGAGCTGCCAACTAAGATGAACAAAGCAAAAACACAACACCAGAGGACATTATGCAAGACCGCCAGTGCTTTGGTGCCTGACCTAAACCAAGCAAACAAACAACAACAACAAAACTGTAGAAAGGAAAGATAAGAAAAAGATGGTACGTTACCATGCTAATGTTCAGGGACTTGAGGTCTGAGTAACTGGCTGAAGAGGAGAATCGACCCAAGTTGGTGTCGAGCCATTCAGCAGCGCTTTCAGTTTTCTGTCTGCAACCTGATTTTTTAAAGACAAGGATGGAGGAAGGTCAGCCTGCATCATGCACACAACAGGGGACACAACACACACCCTGGCCTGTTGTCTAAGAAAAAATATTTATATTGCAACCCATTCCCTTCCAGCAACAAGGAGATGCTGGAAAAAGGTGTTCTGGAAGGTTTACCTGGCATGCTGAATTTGGCAGCAGTTGTCTTTAGGTGCTCGACCAGAACATTGGTTATCTCCTGCCTCCTGGTAAATGTCATTCTCTGGAAATTGATTCCCAATCCCTTAACTCTGCAACACAAAGCCAAAGAGGGGTCATGAGGTGGAGATCCTGGTGCAGGCTGAAAAACATTCTCACTCTGAAGTTAGAAACTCACATCACACGGTAGTCGGTGCAGTTGACTGAAGCTGTGACCTTAACCAGCATTTCTGTGGTGAAACTGGGGAGGATGGGAACGAGATTCACGGTGAACCACACCACCCAATCGTGAGTCTCAAATTTCCGGAAATAGCCTTCAATGATTGCGAAGGTGCGGTTCATCATCACGTCACTCACAGCAGGGCTGATGACAGGAATCTGTAGAGACACAACAACAGGAGTGTGAGTGGCACCGCAAGAAAGCCTCCTATTCTACACCTTTCTCTGGGGCATCCACACGGTCTATGCCACACATTTCAGCAGATTGACTTGCCTCTGGAGCTGCATTTAGTTCTGTCAGAAATTCCTTCATGTTCAGGAAAGCGTCGCCTTTCTCCAGCCGGTCAAACACAACCACGATCTGATCAGTGTTGTTTAGCGCTCCAGAGCTCAGGGTGATTTCAGCTACTTGAGTAGGGTTCAGCAGTGACAGCGATCCCAACTGAAGGACAAGATAGAGAGCAGAAGTTAGCGCAGGTGAAGCCCTTCACTTGAAAAAGAGAGAAGATTCATCATGACAGATCACATGGACAACTGGAGAAAGGCATCAGGTACGCACACTGGAGAAATTGACATTCAGGGCTTCTAAAAACTCCACAGTAGCATAGCCAGAGAACAGGCCAAAGTTCTTCTCAAGCCATTCAGCGCTGCTCGTCATTTTGGAAAGACAGGCAGCATCTGCAGTGAACCAAGAGCATTGGAAAATTCAACAGAAACAGTGCAATTGTAAGCAAGCTGCAAAATTTGCCACAACCTCAGACGTTAAAAGATACCCTGGCAACTACAACAAGATGGGTGATGAAGCTTGACAGTGACAGGGCTTACCTGTTCGGTCAGCTCTTGAGAGGAAGGGTTTGATGAAAGCATTGAAGACGTCCTGTTTTGTCTCCATTGCCATGAGCGATGATTGACGGCTGAGACCCAGCACCCTAAATAGGCAAAGAATGGTGGCCATTATGGATTGCCAGACTTCTCTCTCCTAAGCACCACTTCAGCACTTCCACAGCATTGAGGTTACTTACGCTGCTTGGTAGGAGTCACAGCTGAAGTTCTTGGTACTCAAGCAGGATAGAAACTCCACAGAGACAGATGGCAAAAACGGTCTCAGACGCTCCTGGAACCAGGCTGTAATGAAGCTGGCATTTGTCAGCTGTGAAGCGCTAAAGTTGCTGATTGTCAGCTGTCCAATGGCATCCAGAATGTTGGATGCAGCATGACCGTTGCTTAGGTTCTGGGAAAGCAAAGGGCACATATGTCACACACGTGTCAAAACAGAGCCCTCTGGCAGTGTTTCACTTGTGTACTGGAAAATGCAGGGCTGCTACTGACCTGACTGGAGTACACGGACAGCGCATTCTCCAGAACCCCAGTGACTTTCTGGAAGAAAAGCTTCCACATCTCTGTGCTGTTGCTCATGACCGTTGATGCCTTGCAGGTCAGCAGCGTGACGAGGTCATCAGAGGACAGAGAGGACGCAACCTTGGGGGGGGAAGCGGACAGATTTGTGCTGTTAGAGAAAAAGGTCTCTTTACAATTAACAGTCATACTGCTGCACGCTTCAGGAAAGGCTTACTGAAGAGCAGGCATATTCAGGAATGCTGAAGTTGCAGAGTTGAGCCGCGACGCTGCCTGATGTCTGAAGTTGTTCACTGCAAGGCACAAAAGCATGTTGTCCAGTTACACCTCTGTTTTAAATCTTACCTCATTTCTCAGTAGACACCACAGTGAAACTCACCTGTCTACACCTGCACAAAGCCTTTCCTCTGCAAAAAAGGCCAGAAAAGTTATCAGTGGCAGATCTTTATAGCCATCTCACAATATTATTAAAACTGAAAACATTTAGCAATCTTTGTTCCGACTCACCATCGATCAATGTTTCCTCGCACTGGTGAGAGGTGAGACAAAGCAAAAATTAGAGAAAAGAATTAGGAAGAGCTTATCTTGGGCATAATGCCACCAGATGAAGTACTTACAACAGCGGTGGGGGACACGGTCGGTGGTGCAGTGGGTGGTACTGGGGACGGTGTGGTGGATGGCATGGTGGGGGGCACTGTGGGGGGTGTGGTGGGTGGTGGAGTCGTGCAGGCTAAAGAGAGAAGCCAAGACAAGAGATATTGGTCGATGGGAGGCAACTCTCATGACGCTGACATATTCAAATACATGTGGTCACAATTTGTTGGCTTTTCTCACCGCCCAGGCACTGCCTAAGCATTCCAGCAGCTTTACTGATGCCATACCTTTTGGTGGTGAATGTTGAAGTGTGTCTACACTTGAATTTAGCTCTACTCCAACTCCTGACGGAAGATCTGCCAAAGCTATCTTCATGCCTTCCAGTCTGTCAAAACAAACAACATTGCTCAATCTCCACTTTTATTTCTACAGAACGATTGAGAAATTAAAGCCAAGGGGGCTGGTTTGCTCACATTGCTTGGTAAGATTCGCATGTGATGTTGGCAGGGATGACTTCCAGCACTGTAGGACTGAAGCTGGCCAGCAGGACCACCAGATTGGTTTGGAACCACAGCTCATAGTCGCTTGTTTCAAATAGGGGAAGTTTGGGAGCCAGGGCAGTCATGGTCAGATTCAGCATTGTGTCTCGGACAGCCACGTTTTCGATGTAGGTTATACTTTCCTGAAGGGGTGGAGGAAGGAGGGGTTGCTGTTGGCTTGTTTAAATATCTAAAATCCGGTTCAGCTCATAAAGGTTAGTCACTCTGAAGACCTACCTACAAACATTACTCACCACTTTGCTGACTTTCACAAATGTTTCAAAAAACATCTCAAGTTGTTTCTCATCTGGAGACGTCAGTATGCTGGTCAACACCTCCTGTACCACGGTGACATTGTCTAGAGCATCGGTGGATGGATCCAACAGTAGCTCTGCTTTCTGATCGGGTGCTAGGGATCCCAGAGCTGCCAACTAAGATGAACAAAGCAAAAACACAACACCAGAGGACATTATGCAAGACCGCCAGTGCTTTGGTGCCTGACCTAAACCAAGCAAACAAACAACAACAACAAAACTGTAGAAAGGAAAGTTAAGAAAAAGAAGGTACGTTACCATGCTAATGTTCAGGGACTTGAGGTCTGAGTAACTGGCTAAAGAGGAGAATCGACCCAAGTTGGTGTCGAGCCATTCAGCAGCGCTTTCAGTTTTCTGTCTGCAACCTGATTTTTTAAAGACAAGGATGGAGGAAGGTCAGCCTGCATCATGCACACAACAGGGGACACAACACACACCCTGGCCTGTTGTCTAAGAAAAAATATTTATATTGCAACCCATTCCCTTCCAGCAACAAGGAGATGCTGGAAAAAGGTGTTCTGGAAGGTTTACCTGGCATGCTGAATTTGGCAGCAGTTGTCTTTAGGTGCTCGACCAGAACATTGGTTATCTCCTGCCTCCTGGTAAATGTCATTCTCTGGAAATTGATTCCCAATCCCTTAACTCTGCAACACAAAGCCAAAGAGGGGTCATGAGGTGGAGATCCTGGTGCAGGCTGAAAAACATTCTCACTCTGAAGTTAGAAACTCACATCACACGGTAGTCGGTGCAGTTGACTGAAGCTGTGACCTTAACCAGCATTTCTGTGGTGAAACTGGGGAGGATGGGAACGAGATTCACGGTGAACCACACCACCCAATCGTGAGTCTCAAATTTCCGGAAATAGCCTTCAATGATTGCGAAGGTGCGGTTCATCATCACGTCACTCACAGCAGAGCTGATGACAGGAATCTGTAGAGACACAACAACAGGAGTGTGAGTGGCACCGCAAGAAAGCCTCCTATTCTACACCTTTCTCTGGGGCATCCACACGGTCTATGCCACACATTTCAGCAGATTGACTTGCCTCTGGAGCTGCATTTAGTTCTGTCAGAAATTCCTTCATGTTCAGGAAAGCGTCGCCTTTCTCCAGCCGGTCAAACACAACCACGATCTGATCAGTGTTGTTTAGCGCTCCAGAGCTCAGGGTGATTTCAGCTACTTGAGTAGGGTTCAGCAGTGACAGCGATCCCAACTGAAGGACAAGATAGAGAGCAGAAGTTAGCGCAGGTGAAGCCCTTCACTTGAAAAAGACAGAAGATTCATCATGACAGATCACATGGACAACTGGAGAAAGGCATCAGGTACGCACACTGGAGAAATTCACATTCAGGGCTTCTAAAAACTCCACAGTAGCATAGCCAGAGAACAGGCCAAAGTTCTTCTCAAGCCATTCAGCGCTGCTCGTCATTTTGGAAAGACAGGCAGCATCTGCAGTGAACCAAGAGCATTGGAAAATTCAACAGAAACAGTGCAATTGTAAGCAAGCTGCAAAATTTGCCACAACCTCAGACGTTAAAAGATACCCTGGCAACTACAACAAGATGGGTGATGAAGCTTGACAGTGACAGGGCTTACCTGTTCGGTCAGCTCTTGAGAGGAAGGGTTTGATGAAAGCATTGAAGACGTCCTGTTTTGTCTCCATTGCCATGAGCGATGATTGACGGCTGAGACCCAGCACCCTAAATAGGCAAAGAATGGTGGCCATTATGGATTGCCAGAATTCTCTCTCCTAAGCACCACTTCAGCACTTCCACAGCATTGAGGTTACTTACGCTGCTTGGTAGGAGTCACAGCTGAAGTTCTTGGTACTCAAGCAGGATAGAAACTCCACAGAGACAGATGGCAAAAACGGTCTCAGACGCTCCTGGAACCAGGCTGTAATGAAGCTGGCATTTGTCAGCTGTGAAGCGCTAAAGTTGCTGATTGTCAGCTGTCCAATGGCATCCAGAATGTTGGATACAGCATGACCGTTGCTTAGGTTCTGGGAAAGCAAAGGGCACATATGTCACACACGTGTCAAAACAGAGCCCTGTGGCAGTGTTTCACTTGTGTACTGGAAAATGCAGGGTTGCTACTGACCTGACTGGAGTACACGGACAGCGCATTCTCCAGAACCCCAGTGACTTTCTGGAAGAAAAGCTTCCACATCTCTGTGCTGTTGCTCATGACCGTTGATGCCTTGCAGGTCAGCAGCGTGACGAGGTCATCAGAGGACAGAGAGGACGCAACCTTGGGGGGGGGGGGGAAGCGGACAGATTTGTGTTGTTAGAGAAAAAGGTCTCTTTACAATTAACAGTCATACTGCTGCACGCTTCAGGAAAGGCTTACTGAAGAGCAGGCATATTCAGGAATGCTGAAGTTGCAGAGTTGAGCCGCGACGCTGCCTGATGTCTGAAGTTGTTCACTGCAAGGCACAAAAGCATGTTGTCCATTTACACCTCTGTTTTAAATCTTACCTCATTTCTCAGTAGACACCACAATGAAACTCACCTGTCTACACCTGCACAAAGCCTTTCCTCTGCAAAAAAGGCCAGAAAAGTTATCAGTGGCAGATCTTTATAGCCATCTCACAATATTATTAAAACTGAAAACATTTAGCAATCTTTGTTCCGACTCACCATCGATCAATGTTTCCTCGCACTGGTGAGAGGTGAGACAAAGCAAAAATTAGAGAAAAGAATTAGGAAGAGCTTATCTTGGGCATAATGCCACCAGATGAAGTACTTACAACAGCGGTGGGGGACACGGTCGGTGGTGCAGTGGGTGGTACTGGGGACGGTGTGGTGGATGGCATGGTGGGGGGCACTGTGGGGGGTGTGGTGGGTGGTGGAGTCGTGCAGGCTAAAGAGAGAAGCCAAGACAAGAGATATTGGTCGATGGGAGGCAACTCTCATGACGCTGACATATTCAAATACATGTGGTCACAATTTGTTGGCTTTTCTCACCGCCCAGGCACTGCCTAAGCATTCCAGCAGCTTTACTGATGCCATACCTTTTGGTGGTGAATGTTGAAGTGTGTCTACACTTGAATTTAGCTCTACTCCAACTCCTGAGGGAAGATCTGCCAAAGCTATCTTCATGCCTTCCCGTCTGTCAAAACAAACAACATTGCTCAATCTCCACTTTTATTTCTACAGAACGATTGAGAAATTAAAGCCAAGGGGGCTGGTTTGCTCACATTGCTTGGTAAGATTCGCATGTGATGTTGGCAGGGATGACCTCCAGCACTGAAGGACTGAAGCTGGCCAGCAGGACCACCAGATTGGTTTGGAACCACAGCTCATAGTCGCTTGTTTCAAATAGGGGAAGTTTGGGAGCCAGGGCAGTCATGGTCAGATTCAGCATTGTGTCTCGTACAGCCACGTTTGCAATGAAGGTAATATTTTCCTGCGTGGGTGTGGGCAGAGGACAAGAACTGTTACCTCCACGGTCAAAACTTTCAAAGAAAATCCAAACTTGGCTGGCTTGTTTAAAAGCCTCTTAATTCAGGTCCAACCCATGCAAGATGATCGTTTTAAAAACAAAGCAACCAAGCAAGAAACAAACACTACTAACCTCGTGGCAGACTACAACAAATTTTTCAAAGAACATCTCAAGCTGATTCCCATCTGAAGAGTTCAGGATGCTGATCATCACCTCCTGTACCACGGTCACGTTTTCTAGAGCACCGGTGGTCCGATCCAACAGCAGCTCTGCTTTCTGATCAGGTGACAGGGATCCCAGAGCTGCCAACTAAGAAGGACAAAGAGAAACCACAACGTCGATGGACATTACACATGACCGCCTGTGCTTTGCTGTCTGCCCAACACAAAGCAACATCCACAAAGAGAGGAGAGAGAGAGAGAGAGAGAGAGAGAGAGAAAGAGAGAGAGAGAGAGAGAGAGAGAGAGAGAGAGAGAGAGAGAGAAACTGCCTGCAAACACAAGAAGAACAAAAAGAAGGTAATTTACCACACTGATGTTCAGGGCCTTGAGGTCCGAGTAACTGGCCAATGAGGAGAATGGGCCCAAGTTGCTGTCGAGCCATTGGGTAACGCTTTCAGTTTTCTGTCTGCAACCTGATTTTTAAAGACGAGGATGGAGGAAGGTCAGCCTGCTTCATGCACTGCTATGCATCTGACATACAACAATCCTGGCCCGTCAAATGAAACTAAACTCGCAACGCACGCCGTCCCGGCAACAGGGAGATGCCGGAACAGGACATACAGGAAGGCCTACCTGGCATACTGAATTGGGAAGAAGCAGCCTTCAGGTGCTCCACCAGAATGCTGGTTATCTCATGGCTCCTGCTCAATGTCATTTTCTGGAAAACCATTCCAAGTCCCTCAACGCTGCAACAGAAAGACAAATAAGTGTGACAAGGTGGATGCGCCGGTGCTGGCAGACAAACATTCTCTGTTTTCAGAAACTCACATCACGCGGTAGTTGGTGCAGTTGACTGTAACTGTGACCTTAACCAGCATCTCTGAGGTGAAACTGGGAAGGATAGGAATGAGATTCACGGTGAACCACACCAGCCAATCCCGAGTCTCAAACTTGTGGAATTTGGTTCCAATGATTGTGAAGGTGCGGTTCATCATCACGTCGCTCACAGCAGGGCTGATGTCCGGAACCTACGGGGACACAACAACAGGAGTGTGAACGGCCCTGTGAGAAAGCTTCATGCTGTTGGCTTTTCTCCGGGGCTTCCACGTGGCCTCGGCCATGCACTTCAATGGATCGACTTGCCTCTGGAGCTGCACTGAGTTTTGTCAGAAACTCCTCCACGTTCACAAAAGCGTTGCCTTCCTCTAGTCGGAGGAACATAGCACCGATCTGGTCCGTGTTGTTGAGCGCTCCAGAGCTCAGGGTGAGTTCAGCTACTTGGGTAGGGCTCAGCAGTCGTAATGATGAAAAAAACTGAATCATATTATAAACAGCAGTTTTATCAACAATTCTGACATTAAAGAAATAAATGCTGTGAATGGAAAGTATGAATGTCTACTTACATTGTAAAAGTCTCTGTTTAGAGTTTGAAGGTCCTTCAAGGTAGCATACTTGAAGAACTCAGCAAAATTCCTATTGAGCCAGTCTGCGCTGCTCATATTGTTAGAATTACAGGCAGCATCTGGATTTAACATAGAATATTGAGGAAATGTGAAGAATATTGTCTTAAACAGGGATACAATGAGCATAATAGCTTATTTTTGCTTTATTATGATCAAGCTTTCATTAATTTAATCACAGGCATAATTGTAAGTACTTTTTAATGCATCAATAAAATAAATAAAAACGCACCTGGAAATTTTCTAGACAAGAATGGCTTAATGAACTGGGTGTAGATGGAGGACTTTAATGTCTCATTGATTTGTGTCGCCTGCTCACTGAGTGTTTTTATTCTACATACAAAAACAAACATTTAAGATCAAGCCACAGTTTAATTTAGTTTCTGTGTAACATCAGTGCATTTAGAATACAACTCATACATTTCCTGATAGGAGGCACATGAAAAGTTGATCTTGCTCATGTTGTACATGAAGTCTGAGTTCACAAATGGGAGAATTGGAACCAGCTTGACACACAGCCAAGACTGAACAAACTCCACGTTCTGTGCATTCTCCGCAGTCAGTGTGGCTAAAGCACCAAAAGTGTCAGCAATGCCCTCGATTGAAGAAACTCCCTGAAAGTCAGAAAATAAAAGATGTTTCAGCACTCACATCACAGACAATCCTAAGTGATTATCTGTTCGAGAAGCAGTAGAGCATCCAGGCTGAAGAAACAAATCGCACAACTAAATTATGATTATTCGGCTGATTGCAAGCATGAAAGAAAATGATTTCAGAAACAAAACTGAATGCACAAACTAAATAAAAATCTATACAGATGATGATAAGCAAAGCAGGTGTGTTTTCCAGCAGAGGGCAAAGATGTGGTTAAATGTAGTTTTCTTACAAGGAGAACCATGACATTTAGTGTGGACGTAACAATCTTTCCAAGCTCATTTTGCAGCATTTGTAGATTCTCTTGAGGAAAACTAGCTTTGCTGTTTGATAAACACTGTAGTTGGTTTGCAGTGTTATCCACAGTGTTTAGAATCTGGATATGAAAACAAAAAGTCATAAATTATAAACATTTGAATAGGACACTGTCAAGTATCTCCTACATCGGGATATGTAAGCATATTCTCGTTAGCTTCTTCCGACATGAGTTTTAGCTTCCTTTGTTATGTTATTGAAATGATGATGACCCATAGTGTAAAAGAGTTTCCCCTTATACTGACAGTCTGAGATTACACAGAAACAACGGAGACTAATGAAATCCATCTGAACTGGGGCTAATATCAATAACTGAATGCCTACAAATTTGTCAGAATCTATAGTGGTCCACTGAAAGTCGGGAGAGCCTGTTATTTGGCATTTTGAATTCATTTTTTTTCCTTCTGTTTTGTATTTTATTTGTTGTTCTTAATTATGCGTTTATATTATCTTCCAATTCTTCACATAAATTCAGCTAAATAGACTAAGAATGAAAATCAGACAGTGTAGGCTAAATCTGGCTCATTTTTACATACTGAATGTACTGTTGATGTCCTTTGTCAATTACTAAATAAATAAATTAGACATCCCTAAGACTATCTCCACTTGATCAGTAAAAAACAAAAACTAAACTACATATTTGTGGGTAAAACTTGACTTGTTAATAAAAGCACTTTATGTTCAATATATTTGTATGTTTGTTTAAAGTCCTATTGCCATGTATATGGGTGAGGTCAGTGGGGTTCATCACGGTGCTAATAAATTATATACTAATAATAATATAATTAGACTTTTTCATTGGTCTGATTGCTTCTATTATTCTACTATTTTACAAGTTGCTCTAAATAAAAACTTCTGCTAAATAGCTACATGTAAACATCACAATGCTTTACAAAGTTTAACAAGCAGATTTCTTGAAAGTTTCCTGGAAATGTTGCCACAGATCATAAGGTTTTAGACTCATCTCATCTGCATCTTTCTATAAGCATACAACAATCCTTCTGGATAATAATAATAATAATTTTTATTTTCAATGCACTTTTCTCAAGCTCAATGCTCTACGAGGGAAAAAACAAAGCTGTAAAAACAACAAGTAGGAAAGTATAACATGAAGTACGATAACGATAGATCACACATTAAAAACACTACTAAAGAGGTGAGTCTTAAGAAGCTTCTTAAAACAGTCCAGAGACACTGAATCGATATGGTGAACGAGATGCCTGAACATGTACACCACTTTTTAAAACTGGGCGTTTTTATTTTAATTAACATCTTTATTTAGAAAAGATGGTTTAATGTGACAGGAAGGACATTTACACTATTTTATTATGCCTTCTGAACTACATTTCACAAATCTACAAAGCCACAACACTGACAAGAACCTGAAATGTTTCATCACATTATTCTGATTTCTGGAGGATCAGCGTGTGTCTCTGAAGACCGAAGTAATGATGCTGAAGGTTTTGCTCAGGGGTTAGGGAAAAAGGGAAAATACTTTTGGATCATGTCTTTACAATTATGTTTTGAAACAGTTTTCATCAAAACTGAGAGACAAAGAGCCGCAGGCCTGGCGCCTTTCAATTTGCAAGCGTGTAATATTGGAACACTAAAAACTGTATGTATATATATATATATATATATATATATATATATATATATATATATATATATATATATATATATATATAATTATTATTGTTATTATTATTTTTTTTTTTTTACAAAATATTTATGAAGTTGATAGTAAACCAAGTGGTTATTATGCGTTTTAAAGCAAATCTCTTTTATAAAAGTGCAATGATCAACCTCATGGAGCAAGAAATAAAGAGGTATGTACCGTGATTGGTTTGTGTTGCCTTAAAAACAGTCCAATATAGTATTACAGGTTTACAGGTATACAGGTTTACTGATGTAATGTTAAATTGGTCAAGAATAGTGAATGATCCTAAACACAGGAGACGCCTGACAGTCAGTCATCACAGTCCCAACCATCGAGGTCTGAGTTTTTGGACCAACCCTAAATAATCTATTGATTTTCCCATGTATCTGTTATCCTTGAAGTTTCCTGCGCTGCTTAAACTATCCAGCCCCACAACTAAACAATTCAGTACCTTTCCAAAGCGACTGCTGGCCCCAATGCCTAGCTCTGCCACGTCTGCTAGAAATTATTTTTGCCATTTCAAAATGTATGAGAATTGAAACTGCTCATTTTATAGTATTTGACAATGTGCTTGATCTAACAAAGCAGAAGAGACTTTAAAAACACAAATTTAATGCCAAGAATACGAGTTATAAAAAGACATGGGCCTACTGCCTTTAGAAAGGTAGCGTAACGGGACAGCAATATTACGCTGTCGATATTTCACCTTTACTTTAATCTAAGCGATGTCTTATCCAACACCTCCAGCATCTCTGATTAACAGACTCTGAGTATGTTGGCTCTTCTTTATAGTTGTCCAGACTGACTGGAATTTCGGCTTCATAATGAACTGAAGCTTGATTTACATTTCTGGGCCTTGTGACATCCACCATCTTCCCCATCAATCGCTTTCGGTATTCCTCATTTATTAGTTGGGGTTAGCATAACAAATGTAAATCTAAGAGTTCTGGGACATTCTGCAGATCATAGAAGCATGCAGTACATTTTAGAGGTACTTCTTTCCTCTAGAAGCTTCCACCTGAACTGATAAATGCCCACTTTTGCTGACTGGAAATGACTTCACTATATTATTAATGCCTAATGAATCAGTTCAACAAAAACAACTGCAACATTCAACTGTGATGATGTAGGAAGACAGCAGAGAGAGTTCACTCACCAGAGAGCTGAAATTTCGGAGATTGATGGGATTACAGCGGTCCAGGGTTTGATTGGTAGTGCTCCTGTAACAGCGGAAATAAATGATATTAAGCCTTCAGATTTACTCCAAATATTCAAACGCTACCTCTGAACGTTAATCGAGATGAATACTTACGCAGTAGTGAGACTGCATGGTGCTGTTTCTAGAGAAAGACAGAGATGTGCTCGTTAGTTTTCATGCACTCACTGAAGAATCGGACTGTACTTGACTAGAGGTCTGCTGCGTTCTGTCATGAGACAGACACTGTTGAGGATATCTAAATTTAAATCAACACTTGGGCAGCTCTTTATGCCGCTCGTGAGGATATTTATCACTGATGAAGTACATGTAGTTCTTTTTGAGATGCTCCTCAAATGGGTAAGTTCATTGTTTGTAAATAAGAAGCTAACAATGTGAAGATGAGGGTCTTTCTTTCACTGCCGTGAGTCAAGGTGAATACAACAATGGGAAAGAACTAAGAACTGAAGAAGGCCTACAAACACCTCCAGCAGCAGCAGCAGCAGCGTGAACGCTACCTCACTACACAATTCATGAACACTCACTGCTGTTTTCAACATGTTCCTCATGTCTCTTGTTCTCCTTAAAGTATGTTGTGCTCTGATTTTGTATACAACACAAGTAAACAAACAAAGCCTTGTCAGTAACCTAAGCAAACAGAGAGTTAAAGGGAAAAATCTCTTCTTCTGTCCTCTAACACTGTCTGACAGCACCACCTGCAGGATCAGCACCTCTTTTCTTCAGGCTTTCTGTTCTTCAACCCTCTTTTACTTCTTCTTCTTCTTCTTGTAAGTTTACAGCGGTTGGCATCCAGCGTTTTGGTGCGTTGCTGCCACCTTCAGCTCCGGAGTGTGGACCAGAGGTTAGGTTTACAGACTAATACCCCCCCACTTCCCTCATTCCCACCCTTTCTCATACACACACACACACATACTTACAAACACACCCCTCACCCCTACTCCTATGTCAAAATAATAATCATAATACTCATAATAATAATATCCACCACAATACTTTTACTCCTACTTTTACTTCTACTTGTTCTAATAGTTCTATTTAACTCTCTTCCCTTTACATTCTATTACAATTTAAATGATTTATTTACTTATTTATTTTAAAACCTATTAAAAACATCAGTTTACTCTATAAGAATTCTGAACTGAACCCTGTCAACCCTCTTTTAATGCCCACAGGAACCGATGTATAGTGGACTCATGCCTATATAAAGCGTGTGGATGTTTCCCAGTGATGGGTTGCAGCTGAAAGGGCATCCGCTGTGTAAAACAGATGCTGGATGAGATGGCGGTTCATATTTAATTTAAATATCTATGTAATTAATTTGTTTTGTATAGTTTTGTTTCTATGTATGCATGTGTATCACATAGAGGTATATATATATATGTGTGTGTGTGTGTGTGTGTGTGTGTGTGTGTGTGTGTGTGTGTGTGTGTGTGTACAGTTGAAGTCAGAATTATTAACCCCCTGAATTATTAGTTCACCTGTTTATTTTTTCCCAATTTCTGTGTAACGGAGAGCAGATTTCTCCAACACATGTCTAATCATAACAGTGTTAATAACTCATCTCTAATAACTGATTTATTTTCTCTTTGTCATGATGACAGTAAATAATATTGAATAAAAAATAATAATAAAATTGTGTTTAAAATGACAGATTTTTTGTTTAAAATAAACTGCTTTTATTCTAGTTGAAATAAAACAGATCAGACTTTCTCCAGAAGAACAAATATTATCAGACACACTTTGAACATTTCCTCAATCTGTTCAAGATCATTTGGTAAAAATCAAGAGAGGGGGGGGGGGGGGGGGGGCTAATAATTCTGACTTGAACTGTATATATAAATCTATATATAATACACACACACATATATTAGGTCTAAACAAACGTTTGTTTTGGATGTGATTAATAGCAGTTAATCTTTGCCCAGCACTAATATTTACTTAAGCAATGACTAATTGTTGATCTGGATTAGGGGACCCAAACTCAGAAAGCATGGATGAACATTTAACAAGCATTGAGTAAGTCATCTGTGTACATGGTTTATTCCCCCAGGTGTAATGTGTCTGAACCATCCACAAGAGGGTGCTGCCTCCACGCTGACAGCTTTTGTCGACTCAGAGCAGATGCTTGTCATCCATGAGCTATACTTTCACACATTTCCTTCATATTTTGTTACTTTGAGTGAGATGCATGTGAACTGTTGAGTAAACTCACCATTTGATTGTGTTGCATTGCACTGACAAACAAAAAAGAAAAAAGAACTGTTAAAAAAGAAACTTCTGACTTACTAAGATTGTATAATTTTGCAAACGTACAGAAGCATTTTTCTGGACTTACCTGTGCATTACCTGGGCTCACCACCGATGCTGTAGACAGAGAAAGAAGAACATGCAGTTACTGCAATATTGAGACACTTGTGAACTTACAGAAATAATAAATGACCCTTAATAACATGCTATTGTTGTACATGCAGTTAGTTAAAGAGTAAAACAGAATATTGTTGATTAAAAATATTTACTTTTCAGACCCTCCAGGATTTTGTAAAAAAAAAAACAACAACATTTTTCATAAGTAGAAAGACATTATAAAGCATTAAAAGCCATTTTAAACTCGTCACATTTAAGATCTGGTTTGTTTCAAAATCAATGATCTTATGAGATACGATATGAAGTGTGTCTCACGCTGGACAAGAAGTTCTGCATTAAGTTCCATTATTTCATGCCATGTCTTTAAAATATGGGGAAACAAATTACTGCAGTATTTCAATGGATTTTCTGCACTCTGTTTCTTCGCCTGTTTTCACGCCTGTTTCTTCTGACAACACGTCTTTCATGCCATTTTACACTTGAACAACTTAATAAATGCTTGGCCTATGAAACTGACTGTATGTTGCATTATAGATGGTGTCAAAGGAACCATGTCAAATATCCGCTGGAATATAGCCTACTGTTAGAAAATGAATGCTAAGTCATCTGTGCTGCTGGATGGTGGATATATTTTATTTAATTGGGACAGTGGAGGTTACAGACAGAAACGTAGTGGGAGCAGAGAGAGGGGAAGGGTCAGCGAGGGACCTCGAGCCAGGAATGAAACTTGGGTTGCCGTGAGTACCTTAGTGTTATATGTCAGCACTCTTAACCACTAGGCTGTTGCCACTGTCACATTTAACCCTTATAAGTAGATGATTAGCAGCTGATACACCTCAAGTGACTTCATTCCAGCAGGCTTTAAGTGTGTGTAGAATCAATTTATGACTATGATGATATGTTTGAATATATAAACTATTGCAGATGGTGCTCTGTGGTAGCTGGAATTGAACTGTCCTCCCGTCTGCCCAAATTATGCTATAAATTTACTGAAATTTTAAAAGTTTGCTTAATTTTGTGTTACATTCAGTAATTGGGAAATCCTGGAGGGTCTAATTGAGTGATTGTGTGTGTGTGTGTGTGTGTGTGTGTGTGTGTGTGTGTGTGTGTGTGTGTGTGTGTGTGTATGTATCCACGTATTCTAAAAAATAAAACCAGTTTGATAGTTTTGCGATAATATTCCAGTACCCTTGATGATCTTAGACAGCGTTTATTCTGAATTTGTTGTGGATTAAGTGATGAAATAAAAAATAAATCATAATGTTTTCGAAGAAATTCATGGATTAAAACCCAAAAAGCCAGCATTTGTGTGAGTAGGAAAAGCATGCTTGTGGAATGTGAATAATTGTGTGACTCACGGATCCAAACACTAGTTAGGGCTGAGGGGTTTGTGTGGAAAGCATGTGTTGCTTCATCTGTTGCAGAAACACTGGGGTTTAGTCCTTCAGTAGTTACAGATTCTGTCTCTGGTGGATTTGAAGAGTTGACAGTATATTGGGTCGGATTTTTAATGGTTGAAGCTTCAATGATTGTAGAAACAGCATTTGTAGAATGGCTAACTGCAGCTGTATATGTATTAGCTGTTGTTTCATGGATTTCAGTGTTTGGTTCTGCTGATAATTCAGTTGCGGGACTTTCGATAACAGTTGAAGCTTCGACTATGGTGGAATCATCATTTGTAGAAAGGCTAACTGTAGCTGTATGTGCTTCAGTTGAAGAAGGAACATTAGCTGTTTCAGTGATTGTAGTGTTTGGTTCTGCAGATGTTTCAGTAGCTGAAGTTTCAGTAACAGTTGAAGCTTCATCTGCTGTGGAAACAGAATTTGTAGAAAGGCTAACTGTAGCTGTATGTGTATTCGCTGTTGTTTCATGGATTTCAGTGTTTGGTTCTGCAGATGTTTCCATTGCGGGACTTTCGGTAACGGTTGAAGCTTCATCTGTTGTAGAAACAGCATTTGTTGAAAGGCTAACTGTAGCTGTATGTGCTTCAGATGAAGAAGGAACATTAGCTGATGTTTCATGGATTTCAGTGTTTGGTTCTGCAGATGTTTCAGTTGTGGGACTTTCGGTAATGGTTGAAACCTCAACTATGGAGGAAACAGCACTTGTCAAAATGCTAGCAGTAGCTGTATGTGCCTCGAGTGTACTAGGAACATTAACTGATGCTTCAGTGATTGTAGTGTTTGGTTCTGCAGATGTTGCAGTTGCTGGACTTTCGGTAACAGTTGAAGCTTCATCTGTTGTAGAAACAGCATTTGTAGAAAAGTTAACTGTAGCTGTATGTGCTCTGGTTGACGAAGGAACATTAGCTGATGTTTCATGTATTTCAGTGTTTGGTTCTGCAGATGTTTCAGTAGTGGGACTTTCGTTATTGGTTGAAGCCTCAACTATGGAGGAAACAGCATTTGTAGAAAGGCTAACCGTAGCTGTATGTGCTTCAGAGGAAGAAGGAACATTAGCTGATGTTTCAGGGATTGTAGTGTTTGGTTCTGCAGATGTCGCAGTTGCTGGACTTTCATTATCGGTTGAAGCCTCAACTATGGTGGAAAAAGCACTTGTCAAAATGCTAACTGTAGCTGTATGTGCTCTGGTTGACGAAGAAACATTCGCTGTTGTTTCAAGGATTGTAGTGTTTGGTTCTGCAGATGTTTCTGTTGCGGGACTCTCTGTAACAGTTGAAGCTTTATCTGTTGTGGAAACAGTGTATGTTAAAAGGTTAACTGTAGCTGTATGTGCTTCAGATGAAGAAGGAACATTAGCTGATGTTTCAGTGATTGTAGTGTTTGGTTCTGCAGATGTTTCAGTTGTGGGACTTTCGTTATTGGTTGAAGCTTCAACTATGGAGGAAACAGCATGTGTAGAAAGGCTAACTGTAGCTGTATGTGCCTCGAGTGTACTAGGAACATTAACTGATGCTTCAGGAATTGTAGTGTTTGGTTCTGCAGTTGTTTCTGTTGCTGGACTTTTGGTAACAGTTGAAGCTTCAACAATGGTGGAAACATCATTTGTAGAAAGGCTAACTGTAGCTGTATGTGCCTCGAGCGTACTATGACCATTAACTGATGTTTCAGGGATTGCAGTGTTTGGTTTTGCAGATGTTTCTGTTGCGGGACTCTCTGTAACAGTTGAAGCTTCATCTGTTGTAGAAACAACAATTGTTGAAATGCTAACTGTAGCTGTATGTGCTTCGGTTGACGAAGGAACATTCGCTGTTGTTTCAAGGATTGTAGTGTTTGGTTCTGCAGATATTTCAGTTGTGGGACTTTCGTTATTGGTTGAAGCTTCAACTATGGTGGAAACAGCACTTGTCGAAATGCTAACTGTAGCTGTATGTGCCTCGAGTGTACTAGGAACATTAACTGATGCTTCAGGGATTGTAGTATTTGGTTCTGCTGATGATTCAGTTGCTAGACTCTCGGTAACAGTTGAAGCTTCAACTATGGTCGAAACAGCATTTGTAGAAAGGCTAACTGTAGCTGTATGTGCTTCAGATGAAGAAAGAACATTAGCTGATGTTTCAGGAATTGTAGTGTTTGGTTCTGCAGATGTTTCAGTTGTGGGACTTTCGTTATTGGTTGAAGCCTCAACTATGGAGGAAACAGCACTTGTCAAAATGCTAGCAGTAGCTGTATGTGCCTCGAGTGTACTAGGAACATTAACTGATGCTTCAGGGATTGTAGTGTTTGGTTCTGCAGATGTTTCCATTGCGGGACTTTCGGTAACGGTTGAAGCTTCATCTGTTGTAGAAACAGCATTTGTTGAAAGGCTAACTGTAGCTGTATGTGCTTCAGATGAAGAAGGAACATTAGCTGATGTTTCATGGATTTCAGTGTTTGGTTCTGCAGATGTTTCAGTTGTGGGACTTTCGTTATTGGTTGAAGCCTCAACTATGGAGGAAACAGCACTTGTAGAAAGGCTAACTGTAGCTGTATGTGCCTCGAGCGTACTATGACCATTAGCTGATGTTTCAGGAATTGTAGTGTTAGGTTCTGCAGATGTTTCAGCTGTGGGACTTTCGTTATTGGTTGAAGCCTCAACTATGGAGGAAACAGCACTTGTCGAAATGCTAGTGGTAGCTGTATGTGCCTCAAGCGTACTAGGAACATTAACTGATGCTTCAGTGATTGTAGTGTTTGGTTCTGCAGATGTTGCAGTTGCTGGACTTTCGGTAACAGTTGAAGCTTCATCTGTTGTAGAAACAGCATTTGTAGAAAAGTTAACTGTAGCTGTATGTGCTCTGGTTGACGAAGGAACATTAGCTGATGTTTCATGTATTTCAGTGTTTGGTTCTGCAGATGTTTCAGTAGTGGGACTTTCGTTATTGGTTGAAGCCTCAACTATGGAGGAAACAGCATTTGTAGAAAGGCTAACCGTAGCTGTATGTGCTTCAGAGGAAGAAGGAACATTAGCTGATGTTTCAGGGATTGTAGTGTTTGGTTCTGCAGATGTCGCAGTTGCTGGACTTTCGTTATCGGTTGAAGCCTCAACTATGGTGGAAAAAGCACTTGTCAAAATGCTAACTGTAGCTGTATGTGCTCTGGTTGACGAAGAAACATTCGCTGTTGTTTCAAGGATTGTAGTGTTTGGTTCTGCAGATGTTTCAGTTGTGGGACTTTCGTTATTGGTTGAAGCTTCAACTATGGAGGAAACAGCACTTGTCGAAATGCTAGTGGTAGCTGTATGTGCCTCAAGCGTACTATGAACATTAACTGATGTTTCAGGAATTGTAGTGTTTGATTCTGCAGATGTTTCCATTGCGGAACTTTCGGTAACGGTTGAAGCTTCATCTGTTGTAGAAACAGCATTTGTTGAAAGGCTAACTGTAGCTGTATGTGCTTCAGATGAAGAAGGAACATTAGCTGATGTTTCATGGATTTCAGTGTTTGGTTCTGCAGATGTTTCAGTTGTGGGACTTTCGTTATTGGTTGAAGCCTCAACTATGGAGGAAACAGCACTTGTAGAAAGGCTAACTGTAGCTGTATGTGCCTCGAGCGTACTAT